AAATCTCTCCACACGCTCATTCACAGCTCTCTCGTATTTCTGCTGGCTCCATTTGTTCATCAATACCTGAAACTGAAACCATCCTATAGTGTAAAACTGAAAAAATTTTGAACTTGGGTTAACTAAATTATCCTGAACAAGTTAAATCATGTTGGCAACGCTCCAAAAAGGATATTGGAAATGTTAAGCCCATTAGCCACCAATGATCGTTGTAAATTATGGTATAAGGTCTAATTCTTAAAGACTGCTAAATCCGTAATGTGTTTAAACATCTGTTTTAATTATGATAATAAAGAAAAACCATGAGAAGTTTCCGTAACTCAATTCAGAATTAGTCAGTAACATCTTCTTTATAAACTGGTAGTTGAAAATTAACGAGTAATATCTACAAATGGCTACAGAAAGTTTTCAAAGCTTTCTTTTATTGCCGTCTAAATGCATCTAAGCGGATTAGAGTTCATTCCGGAAAGCTCAACACGAAAAGCTAAATGTGCACAGAACGACAAAGACTTTGGGGTCAAATCCTGTTAAAGGCATATCACAGTAGCAGTAACCAAATATGTAGCAATTGCAGTGGAGTGTCGACAGTGTAATCCGGAATTGCACTGCTTTTGTCAGTTCGCTCTGAAATTGGTATTAAAATCTCGCCTCACCATCTCAATCATTTGGATGGAAAAGTAACAACACCTCGATTATAAGAGCTTGTAGTTGTTGTTAATTCCATCACGACTTAAGGTTTCCATTACAGTCTTAATGTACTTCGTTATTATCTAATTTGCCGTTGTGACGACTTGTGACTTAGTTTTGACTGAATTACAGATAGTCTTCAATTCGATTGATAAACGTGAAAGGGATCCAGTATCTAGGACATGTTGCCGCAAATTATGGACTAAATTCCGTTTATCACTGTAACTCTAAACCGTAAATCTCAAACACCAAAAGAGCGCTTTTCGATTAAGTATCGTGAAATCAAAACCAAGAAATCACAATGGCCAATCAGAAGAAAGCAGAATATCCGAAAGAACCAATGAAAACTCAAGAAACAACAAGCAAACAGCCTAAAGCGCGGGGTGATCATGTCGTGATTGGCTTTAGTTTTGCATCTGATTGGTTGAGAGAGTGGCGCGGGTTTTCTGGACCAATCACCGAGGGACGTAAAACAAAACCAAAGCAATCCCAGATTTACTTTCAACACTCAATTAGAAATTGCTCTTGTTATTACAGTCAGAGGAAGTTTGTGTCCCTATTAGACAAACGCAAGTTTCTTCCAAACTGAACCTTTGGTTTCTTGAACCCACACAAACGTGGTTTTAAAATCTGGCCATGGATTTCAAAGGACTAGGGTCCAAATTAGCCAAAATTTTCGAAAAGTCAAAATTTGCAATCCGTACTAACCTTTCTTTTTTATCCTGAACCATCCTTGGATATACCTCTTCCGTTACATTTTTTTTTGTTTTAGTTTCAAGGCGTCGTTCTAGGTAAGGGAGATTTTCTATGATCGGCTCAAAATACCTTAAAACGCCACAAGGAAGACGCTGCCGAGTTATTTCAAACGACATCTGGGATACAATAAATACCACAATTGTAACATGTCTGTCAATTCTACCTTCTGTGTCCTCATTCTGCAATAATTGATGTTTGGCTGGTGGGTTTCTCAAAAACACAAGGAGTGGAGCAAAGAAAAGATTCAGAATCGCTAATCCACGCAGAAGCCTGAAAGAACAAGCGATAAAAGAGACACATTCTTGACAAACTAATCGAGGTATTTCTGTGTAATATGTCCTGGGCTCTACCTTTTTTCGTTTCCATGTCATTCACCGAAACGGTAGTAAAAGCAGTCATCTTCGCTTTGGTCTGACCCTGAAGCAGCGAATGTAAAGTTCGCTGGAAAATTTCAGTGCCCACGGTTCAGAGTAAACGGGAAACAAGAAACAAGAAACAGCCGCGATGCAGAGGACGAAATAGCGTCAACTTTTTCGGGGATAAATAATGTTTTGAACAGGTAGTATGTAGGTGATGGGCAGTTGGCTATATATCCTAATTTAACTCACTGGTTTAGTACAAGAATTGACAGCTTTCGTGTAGTTTGGCATAGAATTTAGAAACCTTAAGTCGTTTCCCGAATATTGTGTGAACAACCCGTTGCGGAACTGTCGGAGAAACGAAAATTGTAATGCTCCCTGATAGTGTTTAGCGAAAATAGTCTGACTTTGTAAGTGAGGAGCCTTAAAAAGGAAAGCAAAAAATTTTTTTTCTTTTCGCATTTAACTTTATTTCTTTAGTCCTCATAAAGAGGGAGGTAGCAGTTCTTGATGTTCAGGTATTCGTGGTTTTCAGAACCCCAGTCACCGGAAACTGAGCTTTTTACGATCACATAATACGGTAGAATTTCGCCACTAAAACTGAAACAGTTACCTACCATTGAAAACTTCCTTCAGATACAATTACTCCTCCAAGAAGTGGTCCTAAAAATCAAATTACATGTCGATTACTTCAAGGTCATTAGTGAAAATAGATAACATTTTTATGAAACACGCTTACCCTTAACTGACTAAAGTGGAAAAAGTTTCACGGTTAACACTTTTACGAAACCTAACGTGAACTTGTACAGCGTTCAGTGAACTGACGCAAATGCAAATGTCAAAGCACGTAAAAAAAAGTCAATGTAGGGCAGACGATTCAACAAAAGCCAACTACCGGCGGTCTGCCGTCGCCTAGATGACAACTCACTGCCATCTGTTTAGCGTACTAGCAAGTTCTTGTGTTTTGCTTTCGCCTTACGACTCCTTTCCTGAATACAACCGCCCATTACAACATCGACAACCGCTTATGGCAAAATTTTTTGAAACCCTGATGTACGGCCAATCGGAAACAGTACACTTGAAAAACAGGTAAAAATCATTTAGGATTTCCTCCTTCTTAAATTTCAATTATATATAGATTCGTATACGAGACAAGAATTATCCTGGACTTCAGGACGATGAAAAGTGCATTCAATATGTTAGTGCATGTTTATTGGTTTAGCAAGGAACTAAACACACATACCAAAGGCGAAACCGACTGAGGCCGCAAAATCTTCAATAGCAAATACAGCGCCATATACAGAGGCGTGTCTGAAGGGGAGAAAATAGCACTGCTGATTAAGGTAAAAACTCAATGTCTTTAGTGATAGTGAAAACAGAACTGTACCAAAAGTCGTTTACAGACGTTCAGTTTCAGGAATAAAAGTACAAAAATTTAAATCTGGGTTTAGAATTCATTCCGAAAAAACGCTCAGTATGCACAAAGTACAGTTATCACCTAATGGCAAGTAATCTCGGGTGGCTAACTTTAAAGAGGCAATGTAAAGGTGCTTTAGCAAATGTGGTCAGGGGAAACAGAGGTTAAGGTTATCTTATGGCTAAAATGGTGCCCTTTACATCAGCACCTGATCTAAAAATGTCGCTCAAATATGGCTCAGGGTATCAGTAATCATGTAAGTAGCTAAAGAAAGCACACCAATTTGCAAACATGGGCCAAACGGCTCAAGGCAATAAAAGAACAAAAACATTTCAACAACCAACGTTTAAAAACAAATCACAGTAACTTATCCAAGGCATGAAGAAAGCCATGTCTTAGAAATACTCTTCATCCGTTTTTTGGGGGCACACGAATGTGTTACAGGGAAGGGGAAGGGATTAGGGGCGGGAAACGCTAGGGGGTAGGGGAGGGGAGGCGGGAGGGAAGACGTTAGGAGTTGACCTTCTAAGTCTTAAGTGTATCGCCCTCTCGGTGTATCTACTTGCAGTCACACAAAAACAAGGAGATGAAATCATTAACGATCCCATTAACACTTACCTGATGTCCACAAGGTAGGCCAAGGTGGCAGCCATGGAGGCATCAACCATTCCTACACACCATCAAGTAATGAGAGGTTTCGTTTACATTACAAAAGAGTACTGTCTATTCAGTAATTAAGCTATTAAAAGGCACCAGCCCCAGGCGATGCCACCGCAGTTCTCTTAACTCACATCCATTGCCACGACACTAATAATAGACTTTGTTTAGACTCCTTTGTTAAGCTCCTCTGCTTGACACACACAAATACACGCACACTCACAAATTATGACATCTTGAAATAACAACTTTGACTTCGGTAATTATCTTAAATAGTCTTGAGTGTATTCATTTTGTTGAATTGAAGTACACTGTCATGAATGATTTAGTTGCGTGTCACAACTTAGTAATAGACACCCACTGAGCCAAAACCAATAACAACAAAAATTAAGCAAAAAATCCTTCTCCACAGTGGAAGGTTCTAACTGAAGCAACCTCATTACAATCCACTGCATAAAACAGTGCTTGGTTACGAAAAAGTCTGTCCTTGTTAAGACTGAAAGTTTAATATTTTCTCCGCTTATCCACAAAGTTGCGTGCCATGGTCGAATCACATCACAGCGGGTTCCTCTTGAATCACTTCACTGCACACTTAACCTCCATTAAATTACCCTTCACGATGGTAACTAATGACAAAATATCATATCTCGTGCTCACAAGGCGATAAAAATCTATAATGAAAACAGCGATTAGTTTAACTGAGTACAAAAATAACCCACGATGGAATATTGATCGAGAACAGATCCTCTCACTGGTAGGTCCACCTTTAAATTGCTCTACGTCCTTATCTAAATTTTTATCATGTCGGAAAAAATTTTAAAGAAAATTGAAGTTGCTGATGACTGAAAACAAACCGCACTGAAAAAACATATGTTTCCCTCTCTTTCGGAAGTAAAACTTGATATCTTCAGGGCAAGATGTGTTTTTTTCGAAGTCCCTAATATTACCACCTGCCGTGTTTGAACTTCCGCACAAACTCCCTTTTGAGAAAAGGAGGAACATGGAAAACAAAAAAGGTAAAAAATGAACTGAATCACATCCGGCCTTAACTCACCGATACAAAAGCCCAGGGCAAACAGCGGGGCTACAAGAACAGCCAGGGTCTTCGCAACCGGAACCTGTGAACAATGTGTAAAAATACAGAACAGCTGATGGGAAAGCATCAATTATATGTTAATGTTAATTACTGTCCATTCCGTGACAAGGAAAATCTGCCCTCACTTAAGGAAATTCCTTGATGAAATGATTAATCTCATGAAGGTGTTGGCACTCTACAGGACATTGTGGAGTCTCGCAAGCGACGATCCATGAAACAGGAAACCGCCGCTTATCAATACTATCGTGAAGCACGAAAGCTTTTGTGAGTGCTATCAAGCGGATGTTCGATATTTTGATTTCTGCAGAAACAAAAGTGTACGGGTCGTAATAACCGAAATTTCTGCTACTTGCAACTTGCTGGCGATCTTTCTGTTCTAGAAGATGAACAAGTAAAAAAGAACGAAGCACAGCACATCACCTTTCTTCACTTGATGATTTACAACACGCTCTATACCGCCAGAAGTATATAACCTATTCTGAGTTATATGCTTCTGACTCTCCTCACGGGGGAGAGGTGAGAATGAATCACCTTGCGAAAGAGCTTGCTCGTTAACCATCAGATAAATATCACTCAATTCCAGCTTAACAATCTTAGAGGGTAATAACACCGACAACAAATTGAACAAAAAACTTCAATAAAAACCCCCTGCCTAGTTTGCAGGTAGAGGTAAAGGTTTTGTGGTGTTTTATTTTGCAGGATTTTTTCCCTGCAGGAATTTTTCGGATGAAGACTCCACACGATCGGCAAGAAAGAGGCTAGGTTGTGCCTGCCATATCCACTTTTCAGTGAGATTCTTCTCACGTTTGTCTTTACTCAATTCGAAAAGCCTATACTCAGTACACCATTTAGAAACCAGAAAGTACGGATCATCTGAAAGTAGTACAGAAAAAGGCTCAGGCTGCTAAATGCGACAGTAACATGCCTTGGTAACTTTGAAGCTTTGAATTAAATTGGAAAGGAAATACTCACCACAAATAAACTAACAGCAACCAACACAAGTCCAATCAGAGATGCAAGCCACCTAAAATAGACAAAACAGGAGAAGTTCACTCCTGAGTTAAGATAACACATGTTTTCAAGGTGTTAGATTTTAACACACAATTTTACCATTCACCGTCTTTCCGCAGCTCACAATTTTTCCATTTTAACCTTAGTGATCCTCCAGAATAAAATATGTTAAATGAATGAGCCTGAAAAAAATTCGGGATTTGAACCCACGACCTCTGCGACACCGGCGCACTGTGCTCTACCAACTGGGAGCTGGTCATTTAACTGGTTCACTATGAACCCGAAGCTTTATGTTCACTGCTGCTTAGGTAGTGTTCATCACTGCCAATATCACTCTCATTCATTTATTAACCATAACCATTACAATTTCCTCAAATGTGATTGGTGCATTAGCTGCTTTATTGTTCACTAATCATTCTCTAGAGTTGTAATCCGACAGCGTAATCAGACAGTTGGCTGACAGTCCTGTCAGTCAAATCCTCCAATCACAGAATTGATAATAATAACCATAACAACAAGCACTTATCCTAAAAAAATTTTAGAATTTCCAAAGTTGAGGAATTTTTTACTTAGACATTGTCTCCACTGCACATATTTGTCCTAAAAGTATTTGTTGTTTTTGGAAATAATTTGTAACAATTATGATTGATTGCTAAAAGGACTTTCTGTCATACTCATTATTGAAAAATCAGACTCCCGCTTAGCTGTCGACAAATTTTGTTAATCACTGCTACGATTGTGGACCAAATTGGACTCCACTCGGTCCTATTACCATTATAAGTCAGAAGTTTGATCTCCATAACAACTTTATCTGAAATCAAGTTATGACAAAAGCAATCTGAAACCTCATGTACAAGTACTCAAACATATAGCATCACTCCTACAGACCTGCCGATGATATTGCCCAGTTTTCCTAAGAGTGGTGTTGCTATAAGGTATGCTCCAGTAGAGGGCAGGAAAATAAGACCTGTAAAATGAAAAACCATAAATGTTTTAAACAGATCATTTTCAGACTGATTACACATAACTTCCATTCATTCCCTGTGGCAAATATTACAAAATTTTGGACCAAGCTAAGGAGAGCTGGCTCTTGTATATGAAATAAAGGGTTATAATGGCAAACTTTCAAGAAAAAAAAATGTGAAACCATAAACTTCCTTTTCTTAGCTGCAGTTTAAATGAATACTTGCAACAACGGAAAAACTTTTCTGTTTGGCAGTGTTATTCAAAGAAAAAAAAAAGTCAAGCAGATGAAGTCAAGCTATAAAAGGACAGTCAGTAAGAAAAGCAGCTGGGCTACACAGGTTCAGACATATTGGGCTATCTTTTATCTCTCTTCCAACATACTTCTTAATTTACACCTGTTAAATTTAATAGCACACTTTCTTTTCTGATCACATAAACCAAAGATGGGCACTGGTTATTTGTAAAACCTGGGTAACGGTGCAGAAGGAGAATACTGTTTCACACTTTGGCACTTCGTAAAATTCCCTCAATAAGGAGTCCCCATCTCTAAAAAGCCTTCATCTCCTTTAGCCCCCTTATTTGCAGGTCCTAGAAATTTATATGCCCCACCCCCAAGCAAGGGAAGGAGTGAACTGTAACTTCATTTCCTTACCTATCTGCCATTTCTTGGCATCCATAGTTTCTAACAGCCATATTGGTAATGTTGGTTCTAGCAGAGCAAATGACATGTTGCAGAAACATACAGCACCTACCAACAGATAACATGTCATAATCACATTATGTTTCTCCTTACTCAAGATGACCATAAAAATTCTCAAGAACATCTTACATAGTTAAAATTGGGAAATTTGACATAATGGTCATTAAGATCAAACAATTTGGTTCCTCAGCTTGATATCCAGAAATTGGGTGCATACTCTTCAACAGTTAAAGGGTAGATGATGTAAAATGTCTACAACTAATTTTTGTGCTTTATCCCTTCCCACCCTAACATCAGTATGCATATTCTTCATACTTTTCCCTATACATTCCCTAAGGTACTGGTGAGGAGAATTTGCTTCATAATCCAGAGCTTCTCTAGTTGGTGACCATTTCCTTTACTCTCATTACCTTAATATTTGATTAGGTGGTGATACTGTAAGTAGATATTAGATGCTATTCACTCTTAGGGGTATTAGGTTTAATGTCCTGCTGTCACATTCCATTGAATAAAATTAGTCACTGACAGATTGGTAACTCTTTTTCAGCTGGTTAGTGATAGTAAAACTACTGGTATGCTTCTTACACTCTGCTTTCTGAATCACACAATTCAGAATTTTGAGAGCATACTTTAAAACATGCAAAGAGTACTCAGTCTGGCAAAATGATGTACCAGTCCATATGATGAAGAGAGTCATTTGGTACAATTTGAGGAAAGAAAACTTTGCTTGGCAGACACATAAACTGTCAAACTTATGTGCTACTGATACACTGCTTTCAGATCTCATAGAATAAAAATAAGAAAAGGATTATTTTATAACTCTTGTGGCCAGTTAGTGAAAATAAAACTACCATTATTTCTTTATCCCCATGCATTCTAAACTTCAGTGTTGTGAGTCACACATTTCAAAACTTAATGGCGATTGTTGTAATTAAAACTGTAGGTGAGGAGAGGTGAAAACTTGATGCTAGCATTTTGAAGTTTTCTTAATCAATCAGAGGCTCAGTTTTGAAAAAAATCCCTGCTGGCCTCCTTCAAACTACAAGTAACACATTTCCTTAACCCAACTTACCACTGGCAATCAGAATGTAAGGATCTGACAACAAGTCCTTGAGGGTGGGTTTTACTGTCTACAAATAAACATCTACTTTAAATCAAATTTTTACTGTTGTAAAATAACTTCAGCATTTGTTTTTAAAGATTTTTTTTAAAGATTTGAGTATCATTCACATACATTAGATTAGTGTAACCCCTACTTTTTTGTCCTGAATATTCCTCATAAGCATCCATTTCCAAGAACCATTTAACTATATCAGACTCTGTTCAATGCATAGTTAAAGATACTAAGCCTTATCAAGAATACTTCAGCATGAATGATGAATTTCATCATAACTTACATCTTTTGGCATAACTGGCTTCTGACTAATAACCACCAACACTAAGGAGAGAAAATAATTAAAGTGAACTAAACATTGGATGTTTATAGACCACTCTGCTAATTTTTTAAAATTATTTTTTCTGAGATTAAATTCAAGAGTACTGCTTACTATATAAAAAATCCACAATTTAATTAGAATATGTCTCACAGTGACAAATGAAAATTGAATTATGATAAGACTAAACGTAGTCATTTCTTCTGCTTTAACCACCCACATGCGTACACCTAGCCAAACAACACATATTTCATCAAGAAGTAAATAATCTATTAAGCTGATAATTCAAAATGCAGTATAGAAAATTTCTATATCAGAATGTAGGTTTACTAACCTATTAGTGATACAAACAACCTTTAAATTAATAGTCTCATACTCTAAAATCAATTTTCCAAATAGATAAGATATTTAGTGATTATATACTGCCTTGATTTTGTTGGGCACAAATTGTAACCTTGGACTACCAATTTCCTCTTATTTAAGGGTTACCTGTCACAAGGGGGAAGTTTTAAAAGTGACCCTCCCAGAACTAGGTTATGTTCATAATAAGACAATTTACAAAATGATGGGAACCATCAATAAAAACATAATTATACTAACCAAATGTTAAAAAAATGAAACCAGCAAGTATGAAGAATGGAAGGCCCTTGCCTCCAATACTGTAAAACAATCCTCCAAAGGGCGGCCCAGCTACAAATGCAAAGAGAACATTTTCAGTCATAAAACCAAAGAAGAGCTAGGACTATTAGCACTAACCATATTCCCTAAAATTTATTTTTTGGTCAATCAGATCTTGGGAGTAAAGGGGTTACTGCCGTACTAATATATTTCCTTATATGCTTTAGACAGATTTATAGGATCCCCCATATCAGTTAAGAATATGTTGTTGTATCAATGTGCACTGCTTAGCTATGATCACACTATTACTACATAATACCATGGCAACATGACTACTGTTTACCAGATGAGTAAGCATCTAATTTATAAGAATCTGTTATACTGGAGAGAAAAATTAAAGAAGCCCAAATCATCACAGTCCACCAGCATTCCTCTAATAGAGAAATGATTTAGAAAACTTCAGGGAAACAATCTTTAAGAACATAATTGATAGCTTTACTAGTTCACCAATACATACCTAGGACACCAAGACCTGTCACTCCCATTGCTATACCTATTGCTGTCCCACGTTCGTTATCATCAGGGTGGGCAGCTGCAAGCATTGCTAAACCTTAAAATATCAGTCAAACAAACAAAAATTTAGACAAGCAAACAGCTTCATAACCTTAGATAAGCCCTACCAGTTTCATACAAAACTCTTCCTTTGTCATTAAGGTTCTTAGTTATTTTTATAATGCCAAAGTACTGTACAGATATCCATTGATGCTTTCATTGCATTTTTAGCAGGTGGAACATACTTTTCAGTTTCAATTTTTAACACTCACAGTCATCAGAAAATAATTATGTGCCGTCAACCAATAAAAAGAAACAACAAAAAAAGGTGAGGAAACTGTTTCTACTACTAGCAAAGCTTCTTCAACTTTGCTGAAATAACTGATACACTCCAACCGACTGGATTAGTCTAAAATCTAGAAAATTTAAATGTAATTGGTTTTTGTTGTAAATGTATTTCAGAAGAGCAAGATTACACTTTCCATGGGTTCACCAGTGTAATAAGCCACTTGGAATGTTGAGACAACATGAGGGGAGTTTGTAAATCACCTGCCTCCTGCTTGTGATAAACAAACTTTTCTAGACAGTGTTCTCCCAAGCTCCTGCAGGGGTTATAAAGCCTGGCCCAATAAACCAATAGAAAGTGCAGTCTACTGCTTTAGTTGACAATAAAATTACTTACGCACACAATCACTTACTAGAAATGAGAACAAAAGAAGATCCTAACCCCTGAATGGCCCTTGCTACAAAGAGAAGCCAATATCCTGATGCAAAGCCATACACTAAATGCAAAAGAAAAATCCTTATGGTAAGGGATACATACTTTGATGAATCTAGACAACCCACATGAGTGAATCAAATTACAACAGACATCTGCAGTAGATCATAAGACAGTTGGGGTTGAGGGCTGAAAAAGGCTGTTTTGTCAAACACAGTAAAATAAAAATTATTTTCTTCATAGTAGCTCCTTAAACTGATCTTTATTGACTTAAAATTGAACACATTGAAAATAAAATTCAGTGACTACATGTATTGCAGCCTATGAAGCCAGCTATTTTTCAGATCTCTGTTTCTGATTTTTGATCAGCCAAACCCAGTTTCACCAAACATGTTTTACCGGTGAGAATGGGGTATTAGGATATATGTCTTCTTGCATTAATATTCATATTTATGGGTTGCTCACATGAGCTAGTACATGTACTAAGTAAAACTCCAGAATATAGTTATTACCCAGAGTTGATACAAATAAGACACAAAAACCACTGTATAATGGGATGCTGTAACCCACTCTGCAAATTAAAATTATAACAGGTAACTCATAATCAACCATTTGAATCAAAGGGTGTACATTTCCACAATTTTTAGTCATTATGTGCAAGAATTTCCTCTCAGTTTTGAAACAGAGCTGTTATCACCTCTGAATGAAGAAACCTTCTTTCATATAAAAGTGAAGTGAATTCCTTTGAGAGGTTAATTGAATGAATCCAATCAGGCTTTGGAGAAAACCTGAACTTTTTTTCAAAAGTGTGAGTAAGGTGATACCTACATGATGTAATCACATTATTGAAAATTATGAAACTTAATAATAAAATCATAATTAATTTTTTTAACCAGTTTCCTTATACCTTTCTGTTAGATGCCCTGCTGCTGGATTCACCATAATCTGTAAGATAGTACAGGTAAAATTATTGTTCAATGGTTCAAGATGATCTTCTTGGCAAAACATGCTGTTTAATATCTACGGTATCTTATCTACTAAATTCAGCTAAATTAATAGCATCCATAAGATGACAGAAAATAAATTTAGATTTGTACTTTACATTCTTGTTACTAATTGAATAAAATTGATTTTTTGGTCCCACAGGATAACACCACATAATAAATAATATATAGGATTAATGGCTTTCTGCAGCAATGTGTTAGGGAGGTTCTCAAAATGCGTTAGTCATGTTTAATGAATACGGTCTTTAAACCCTTAATGTCCCATGGGTGACCATGACAGAATTTCTCCTTATAATATCGATACCTTGTCAAGCAGACAAGTAATGAGAATAAAGAAAAATATCAATTAGAGATTATTAATTGATCCAATACCAACATTCCCCAAACTAATATTTTAAGAACTGTACAGCAGACAGTAGAGAGAATTATCAATGAGATCTTAGGATCACTGCTGCAACAGTGTGGAAGACTATTTAGTGGTTACCCTGAAACATTGCAATTTGAAACAAATACTGTGTTTAGTCCCATATTGTAATTTAGTAACTTTGCTATTTTGGAAAGAATTTACCATAGAAAAGAGTTGATATTCGGGATAAAGGATTAGGTACTAAGGTACTCTTTACAACTTCAATTAATATCGAAAGAACAAACCTGAACAAAGGCTTTGGATGCAAATAGAGCCCCAATTTTAAGATCCATGGATGAATCTATTGCTGTTGATGGGGAAACAGTTGCAAATGTTTTGTTGCTTGTTGAGTTGGCAGCAATCTGTGGTCTAGTTGTTGGTATTTCAGTTACATCCAAATATACTGGTATAATTGGTACTGCAGAAAGACAAAACACATAACCATAATTAATGAATCCAAATATTTTTGCAATCTTAGGAAAGTGTGAAATTTGAAAGAGTTTCTTGTAACAGTGCAAGTTATTTTTCAAAGGCATAGGCCACAGCAGAAATCAAGAAAGGCTCCCTAATCCCATAGAGCCAAGCAAGTTCAAAACCATGCCCTTTCCTTTATGTGATAACATTTTTATGAATTTATTTCTGGGGAGTCACAGAAATGACTTTTTGTTGAGTTATGCCAAGAAGCTGCACTTCTGCAAACAGGTAGTTGTACAACTTTTTTTATTTCTCCTACCTGGTTAGTGTGACTAAAACACAATTCATTAGGGAGTTTTGTTAACACAACCAACTGCACCTTTTCATACCAGTAGCAATGTGTTTTTTACTGTTTGAGAAATACAATGTGTGATACAACTTCCTGTTTGCAGAAGTGTAGCTCACTGGCTAAACTTAAAAAAAAACTAAAAAATTTAAAAAAAAATTATTATTGTGATCTTTTAGTGTTCTCTGGGGAACAGCTAAATAAGTTTCTTTTAAGTAAGACAGAGGAATTAGGGATCATATCAAGAGAACATCCTCTAGATGATAAGCTTACTTGTTCTCATTACCTTAAACATAATAACATATTGGAGTCCCAAGGAGAATTTACATGTAAATCACCTCTGAGGGCCAGATTAAAAATTAGGAAAGTAAGGAAACATGTAAGCTGAACAAACCCCTTCCTCAGCATTATGAGTAGCCTACAGTACAGGCATCTTATTAGCACCAGCCAATGTTATAAGCTCCCAATCATTTATCCAACTGGCCATGTTTGGTTTGGAGTTAGAGTGGACAGTGGGGGGAGGGGTAGGGGTAGGGGGTGGAGGAAAGGCAAGAAGATGCCTGCCTGAAGAGACTGTTGAAAAGCAAAACACCCCATAATTAGTTGTGCGTCACTGCATTTCTGGAAATTAGCCATAAACCAATCAAAATGAGTTACATTAAAAACCGGAAGCACTGTCTTCTGACAAAAAAAAACACACGTATGTTCGCCCACAAATGGAGTCTTGCAAAATAACAATGACTTCAGGCATGGGTAATCTTCACTTCTCTACCCCCACCCCTCTCCTTATTTTTGATCGTCGACCGCCCCCTCGGTACAAATTTCTTTCTCTCCCCAGCCTACCAGTGTCGTTAAAATCAAAATACTAAGCACGCCCGCCAAAATTACGCGTTAATGAGTTGACGAAAGAGGTAGAAAATAACCAAAAAATAAACTGTCCATAAATACCGATTACAGACAACAGGAGGCAGTCACACAGAGCACTCAAGCACGCTATTAACAAGATGATTCTCTTTGAAATCTCCCTTGTTTCAGGTTCCATTTTGACAACACAGCGAAGCCCGTCGTCCTCGATTAACATCTGGTCATCACATTCCTGACTCTCTGTCATGTTTGGTCAAGAGAAAGGAGTGCATTCGAGAATTATTTTAGTTTTATTGAAGTTTTTCTTCTCTCATATCAACTTCACTGACTCAACACTGAGTCAGCAAAGTTAATACGTGCTTCATCTCGCAAGGAATGACGGGAAATATGTTGGAACGACTGAAAAGGACTGGGTATGGGCTGAACTATCGCTAAACTCATGCAAGTAATAAGTAAGATTAAGCTAAAGATGACAAATCTCTGAGGAAAAATTCAATCAGAAAAGAGTTGGATCTAATTTAAAAATTACAAAAGACATGAAGCAAAGTTTGATCCTGGTTTGAAATCAAATTTTAGCAGAATCGTAGCAAGAGAGAGAACCTAAGCCAGTGATGACAGAAGCTATATCTGAAGAATTAATATTTATCGGTTTCAATGGGTATAGTCTGTGAGTATCTCGGAGGTCGCCATCGGGGTCACAATTTCTTCCTGAACGAAGCACACTTTCTCTTTTTTTGCCTTTCTTCCCCACCAATGAATGAGAAAATTTCCGGTAATCGAACACATCGAAAATCGCTTCGTTTTTGGTGAATTTATAGACAGCACAGGTACACCGCAAGCGACTGTTGGCCTATTGCATGTAGAGAGCAAAGGAAATGGAAAGATAAGAACCGGTATTAGATCATACAGCTTGTATTTAGCTCTGATAGTTTATGCCTAGGTGATTTAATCGAGTTACTGCTCAAGTGGTTTGGATTTTATTGAGTTGAAATCGTCAAGGCAAAGATATTGAACAAGAAAAAGCATTCAAATTTCTGGGGCCGCTATATCCATTAATTTAATGAAATGGAAGCTCTGACTGATCAGGGAAACTCTGAAGATTGCGTGACAAATTTTCCCATCTGCTGGGTTTATGATTAAAAACAAAACAAAACAAAACAAAACAAAAAACTTGGTAGGAGAGCAGCGGAAGAATTATGAAAAAAACTTCTCGTATTGGGAAAATGGATCTAGATTGACCTTAAGAGCCTCGAACAGATTTAGCTGAAAAAAATACGCAAAAATTTTAAATCTATGTACTTGAGATGAAAGCGAGAGTGATATTAAGCTGGATTCTGGTATCTTCAGTGCAGAACAGGTGAATTGTATAAAGGTATCACCAGATTTTGAAGAAGACCACGCCATACCTGCTCTTGGTTGAAGGGACCGCAAGGAAGGGAATCGGAGTAGATTCCTGACAGTTGATGTTCTTAATGGAAACGTGAGACCACGTGGAGCGCAACATTTGTCAAGTATGTCGTTTTTCACAGTTAAAAAGTATTTGAATTAACAAATATATTCCATGTTTTCGTACTTCTGTTCAGTAACAGATCGCAGATGACGTCAAAACGTGGTAAGAACTAGAAAGTGGCACACGAGGTGTAGCTGAGTATGTCACTGATGTTCCTATCACATTTTGACGTCTGCTGTTCTCTGTTGCTGAACAGACACATGGCAACATGGAGTCTATTTGTTTTATATATTATTATGAAGAAGCAAAGTGATATTAATGGCGACGTCATCTCTGCGTTTGTTCTCCAATAGATCATAGGTAAGAACCAATCAAATTACGTGTGTAATTCAGCTTATTTTATGATGTTAAATGGAGTCAAGAATGACTCATAAGGTATCTTAGCTTATTTCGCTGAACAAACAATTTTATCGAGGAGGGATGGGAACCGCCGCAACTCTTTGCAGCAGTATACATCCCCGAAGACAAACATCAAACTGTACAAAATAACTGCCAAGAAACAGATGGAACGTCGACTATGAAAATGACGGGCGGTCAGAGCCTCTTCCACTCAGAATGAGAAGATTTGAAATGAGATCGGTAAGCTTGCAGTTGGCATCCGCCTTTAAGGTAAGTTTAAATGTATTTTAAAGTATAAAAGTCTGTTTTTCCCGTTGCCATTTTACGGCAGAGACTATAAAAAAAAAACAACAAACAAAAACTTGACGAAAGGTGAAAACTTGAATTAATACTTGTGAGTGTTTTTTCGTTGGATACCGGAGTAACACGTTTCCATTTTGGAGGAAAGATCGTCGCCGTGGAATACGAATATCAGTCAAGTTGACTCGTTCTTTTCACCGTCGAGAACCATTTTTTTCCCATAACATTCCCAACCGTTCTAGCAACATGAAACTTCTCTCTTAACTCCATAGTTCTTTCGTTATGGCGTCAAATAGATATTGTCGAAGAATTTAATTCTTTTTAATTGCCATCTAACTTTCAGTTGCGTTTTTAGTTCCGGACGCAATGAGTGTAGTGATTTAAAATGACCACTCTTAAAACTGGCATCGGCCTCTTTGAATGGCGCCGGTCACGTCCTGATCACTTTGTCAAATTGGTTTGATTGAATGCCATTACCAATCAATGTTTCCTAATTCTTTTGTTGTTTCCAGTGCTTACTAAACAACACGACAAGATAAACCCTTTCCTTTCACATCTAATTCTTTGTAAGTATCTTGAAATGTGTATTTCCAGCGACAGACGCCATGTTCAAAGAAGCCTCCACGATCCTAGAGGGCTCCTTGACTGCTGACGTGAACGATGAACTTCCGTTTTATACTCACTTAAACCATTCATTCCATGCTTAATGAATCTCGAGGCATTACGCTTTTACAGTCAATTCCCACGGGCCATGTGGGTCCACGGAAGCCATTAATTAGCTTAACTATAGGTACATGGCGTACTGCTGTGGTTAACAAGTTTAAATATTGGAATAGTATAATTCGTTGGCGGCGTAGATGTAATCGCGAAAGTGGCTCTTCGCGCGTGCAGTTTACTTGAAGGATGTTTCCAGGAAGAGATTCCAGAAGATTTCTACGAGAACTTCATAAGTAAGTGCTTAATTTACTACAAGTCGATATTGCCAATACATGAGGCTTCGACTGTTTAATAGACATAAACTATCGATAAACCATTATTGATAGAGAGCAGTAATTACCACTGTCAGAATGTAGTTTAGCAACAGAGCTGTGTAAAATGACATGGTTATTTGGTACCATCGATGCGCAAACGAAGTATTTGGCCTTAAAAGCTTCAATGGAGAGTTTTACAATGACCGTACCAAATTAATGATATATTTGAGATCGCGATTTATTTTTTCTCTCACTTTCCAATGTCGCAAAAGGAACGCTACATTTCGTGCAAATGGTGTAAAAGACTGATATTGCTTATTGACTTGGCGCGAATTTACTTTCACTTCCTACTGGAGTTGCGATTTTGAAAATTGAAGGTTCACGCTTACACTAGCGTGGCTCTCCTCGCTTGTCGTGAAGGACGAGTGAGAACATCTGATTTCACATGAGCCAGAGTGATAAAAGAAGTTTCAGAGCCAACCATTCGAAAATTCAACAACAATATTGGAAGGTTTGTTTTTGAATGTGAGATGGAGTATTGACAAACTGGTGTGATCTTTGTCGAATGAATTGAATTCGTAATTTATATAAGTCTGGATGATTTACAAGACAAAACCAATTTTAAAGTCTCATATATTTCAAGAAATTCGTTTGAACTCTCTTACAAGACATTTTGTTTGCCTAAACCGATTTTTTAAGGTTTTGTGTTCAACTGTTTTACATTGCTTTTTATTTCTTTTAATACCTGACAACATACGGTTTTTGTTTATAATTATTACGTTTTGTTGTGTTTTGACTTGGGATGAAAATAGGAGCAGTCTCCTTCTATTTCGCCGACTATTTCACCTTCCTGTACTCAACAACAGCTTTTTCCCATTCTATTCCGATCTTTTATTTCGTCCAAGAGAGTAAAGGTTCCTTTGGCAGTTTTGTGGTCTTCAAAGCGATCATAGTATGTCCATAAGAACTTGTTGAGACTGGCGAGCTTGTTGTTCTCCAACTTGGAAAAAAAACCGTCAATGCCTCTATTCAGACATTGCTACACGTCAATTTCACATATTTGTCACAAAGTATGATTCGCCTCTCCAAATCAATAAAGTTATCAAGAAATTTTCACGTCATTTTCGCTGCAGCCTTTGTTAATTGCCGCTCTTTAATATCATTAGAACAATTTTTGCAAGAAAAGGTTAGTCAGTTCTTTAGCTGTTTGGTGAAATATTTCTATGCCAATCGTCTTTTAGTATTGAGTGACTCTGAAATATGACCACGTTCGCCTATTTTTCTGCTAAATCAACGAATGACTCGAAAGCTAACGGAGTGATCTTCTGTACGTGATGATTAGTGACATGCCGTCGATCCCTTCACCTTCTAATAGCACCGTGTTTCCGCTTACTGGCAAATTGAGATCGGTTTGTAAAATCTGGTGAAAAAAATCCTACAAACCAAAATTTAACTCTTTCTACTTGACGTAGCATTGAAAAGTAGATTGTACTACAAGCAGAAATTGAATTAAGTCTTTTATATACATCAAAGGTTAACTGTTGTATAATTTTCTTGCAATCTTTCATTATATCATTGATTACATAATAACTGTAAAACGCAGTAGAGCGTTCATTTCTTTAAAGAAACGCCTCTCTTTTTGACGCTAGGTCGGCGTTGAACAGAGAGAACATACTTAGTTTTGATAAATTGAGTTCTTTCTGCATTATGTAAATAAACAACTTTAAGATTTAGGAATGCAATACGCTGTTGTTGGTCTTTCATTAATTACAAAGAACCTTTACAAAAAAGCACACAGGGTGTATTATCCAGCTCAAACAAAGCTTAAGCTGGTTCTACTTCATCCTTGAATCTCTAAGGGAACAGGCTTGCTTCTTTCGAAATGTTGAGCGAACATGAGTTCCAGCTTTTACAGATAGCTGAGCGCTTATAATTTTTTTTTCGATTGTGAGCATCAGATGCATCTCTAGGGGCCAAATTCTCCACGGTATTGTATGAAACTGATAATCATTATAAAGGAATGTATGGGATGAAAAGAAGCAATCCCTCTTTGTTCTTGATAAAAGAAAAACGATAACCATAAGTACTTAGGAGTTTTTCTTGAAATCATTGATATCTATGAAGTTTACTTTATAAACATTAAAGTTACGAGTCCACTGAAAAGTCAATGGTGAAATACCCAATACATTTGGTATCTCAAAAACGGGTATTTTCTAAGAAAAAATTTGGTGCACTCATCGTTACCAAACTTATTCTTCAGACATCAGTTGAACTTATTCGCTCATTTACCATCATTCAATTTCTATTTCTGATAAAAGTTTCAACACACTAAGCAATTTATGTGACTAAATTGACTAGTTTAGGTAACTTTGTTTTGATACCGTTTTGACTCTGAAATATTGAGTAGTGGAGTTGTACCTTTTATATGTGGGACTATTGACCCTTACTTCGACTACTTTTCGTGTGGTTAAAACAATGACTGTCAGATTGTCTGAGATTATGTTTAACGAGCGACCTAAAATCCCTCCTTGACTAAAGTGTGTGAAGCTTACCTTAAATATACGAATAGAGCAGTGGTAATCAAAGGCATTGTGCACGAAACAACTATCTCTCCTGGTAGTTTACTGAAAAGTAAGAGAAAGATCTCTGGTGGAGAGTATGTGAGTGAATGTTTTATCAGCATGCACGTGAGTGCAAAAATCATAAGTTATTCGAGTTAAGCTGCACGTGAGACCGCGACTGACAGTGATAATCTCAAACGATCCTTTATCTTACGTAATCATTGGAAATGTACCTTCTACGGATACTAGCTTGACAGAAATACTTCTTGAAATAGTTGCAAAAAATCGATGGGCGATCCAAAAATGGGGTAAACTCGTTAGCTTTGCAATTCTCCAGGCATCAAGTGAAATTTGCACAGCATTGGATGTGATAATTAAAGTTGTCCTTAATTAAGATAGGTTGGGCAGGGATTAGTAAGATGCCGAGTTTCGTTATTTGGTGTTCTCGCTCACAACGTATCACAAATATTGGTCGAATATTAGACCAAAATTCCTCTTCAAACTGGCGACAAAAACTTCCTTGTACCCTATGGGAGAAAAGCGAAGTAAATAGCACCTTTTAAAGACAAATGTTTATTCACACAGTTTGTAATCTTTTGTTATTCGTGATAACAGGAATGACAACTTTTCTCAATTTATTCAATTTTTTCATTTAACAGAGTATCGTTACACTCCTGAGTTCAACCGTTTATCGCGTGGAAAGCTGCAGTAGCGGTATGGATTTAAGAACCTTCCTTCGAAACAACGCCAATCTGAAGTCCCGACCCAGACGAAGAAGACATAGTATTGCAGATGTCCGCTTCCTACACACCCTCCAAGATATTCCGGAGAAACCCGAAGAGGAACACGTGGCTGACGAACGACGGCACTCAACCGGAAGCTTTGCAAAAACAGAAAAGCCGCGATCTTCAAGCGAACCTCCAAACCCTCCATGCTGTAATGAAAGCGGCATCCGACCTGCTACGATTGTGAATGAGACAGAAACAAATTCAACTGAAACCGCTCGTTCTAAGCGATCTCTTTCTCGTGAGGAAAGCGAAGATTTGATAGAGGCCGTGTCCAACTACGTTTTGTCGTACACAGATGACCAAGAAAATCTTTGTAGTGTTAACAATCTGTCTCCCACGTCTACTGGGTCTTCTTCCCCCCAAGAGAGTTCTAAAGAAACTAGTGACGAAGAGTTGGCTCTGTCTGACATTCTTCGCAAGGTCGACACACCTATGGTATCTCAACGATTAAGACGAGGGAGCACGAAAGATCTAGAACTGATGGAACGAATCACTTCCTTGACTCCCATAACTGAGAGCAGCCGGTCTAGTAGTCGTGCGAGTAGATCGTCTAGCCAGAATGGTTCGGAAATATTTCCAGACATTAACGATGGTAATGAAGGGACAAATCATGGGTTGCACTGCCCAACCCCAAAGACTGCCGGAATAAAAGAAGAAATGCTTGGGAAGATTCTTGTATCTCCTCATATAACGAGAAGAGGGTCTTTGAGTGATCTTCTGAAGTCATTATCACCAAACTTTGATACAAGAAAAGAAAATGGTCTGCAAGGAATGGGTAAAGATGAAGAGCTCAGGCCAGAGTTTATTTCACTAAATGCAGAGACCCAAATGAAAGATCAGTCTAGATCACTTTTTCCGGTGAACTCCGGAAAATATTCCCCAAAAGTGTCTGTAAATGAGAAGCACTCTAGCATGAAAATTACAGATGCATTGGGTAAAGCAAATAATTCGCCAGTATCACTGAAAGGAAGGACTTCCGGAGACCTCCTTAACTCACTGTCCTCAATTGCTGACCGTGTATCATTTAAAGCTAGCGATACAAAAAAGTCTTTAGGATCTGAAGCTAAAAAAGAGAAGCACGAAGTCAGCAGTGTAAATAAAGAAAAAGACGACTTATTCGGTAGAATAATGAAGAGTCCGTGTCTCACCAGGAGAGGCTCCATTGGAGACGTGCTAAACGCGTTGACACCCAACCCAGTCAGGAGGTGTCCGTCGCCATCTCCTCTGACTATCAAATACGATACACATGACGAACTGGTGCTGAAGACCCAGCCTGTTTCCCCGGAGATGCCAAAGATGAAAGATGCTGAGAGGGCAACCTGTGAGCCTGGTGTCGGAAAAGGTCTTTTGGCAATCGTCCAGCAACATGTGATGAATCATAGTCAGGCCATGCAGCGAAGGAGAAGTAACTCCATTGCCTCCACAGAACCCCACACTGGAACCATGGAAACAGTCCTAAAAAAGTGGAATGAGGACAGGAACCGCGCAGCTAACAACGAGTCTTTCGTCGGTAAGACATCTGACAAAGACTCTTCACAAAAGGGAGACATTGTCATTAACACCACCTCCTCCTCTATGACTGCAACAAAAAACAGCATGATAAAAGAGAACAACGGCAGTGGTACTGTGACTTCCACAAATACCTCTAAACACATTCACGACAACAACAACAACAAAATCAACAAATCTGCAAATACAAACCAATGCAATAGTGCAAATAACACTGAAGTACTTAATCCTCAGACACCCAATCCACAAGAAAACATAAGTGAAGAAAACAAGGCCAACGTCGACCACGAAACAACTTCTTCCGTTCCCAGGCAGCTGGTGCTAGTAGGCAGCCCGAGCAAACATGTTCCTCAGGGGAATTCAGAACAAGATGTTCCTTCAGCAAAGACAACAAATAGAAAGATAAGCGCTCCACTTCCACCAAGAAGTGATAACGCCTACCACGTTCCCAAGAGAAAGTCCAGTGTGAACGTGATGAAACGTTCGCCTGTTACTGTTGTGATTTCAAAGGATAAAGCCGGGAAAACAGAAGTGCATAGAAAAGTGTCGCAGTTTCAAATTCCTAGCGGTGTAAACTTAACCGATTCGCGATTCCTTCCACTGAGTAAAGAGGAAGCCGAAGACTATAACAGGATAAAAAACGCAGAGAAAAGCGCATTACCCAGGAAAAATTCGACCGTTACAATGAGCTCAAAAGTCACAGTTCACGGCGGAAGTGGCGCAGTTGTGCGTAAAGTAGGAGTTGCCTCAAAGAGACCTGTTCTTGATGCCTCTCTTCCAACTGAGGAGAGATTTGCGGCACTCAGCGAGAGATATGCCAACTTAAAGGCCAAAATTGGAGGGAATGATGACAAGAAGAAGTCCACAGAGTCCTCCCCCAATCTAGTAGAGAAGAATGATAGTGGTCCATCTACTGAGGACACATTAACCCAATCGAAATGCTGGACGACGGTTGAAAGTATTCCAGTTCAAGTATACGTTGATCAAGTATTTGAAAATCCTCGTGACTTCACAGAGGCTGAAACCAAAGAGACGTTGAGTGGCAAAAACAAATCTCCAGAGTCTTGCCCCAAACCTGATGAGGAGTGTAATTCTGGTCCATATACGGAAGACACGTTAATCCAGTCAAAATGCTGGACAACTGTTGAAAATACTACGGTTCAAGAATATGTTGATCGCGTATCTGACAAACCACGTGACTTAACAGAGGCTGAAAAGCAGGTGACTTTGACTGGAAACGACGAAGACAAGCAGACAAAAAATGGCGAGAAACATGACATTTATAAGAGCCACATGGCAACTAATAGTAATGACTTCGACAATGTAATAAGCTGCATAAATTATAGCGAAAAGAAAGCTTCCATCGACCTGAACAATAACAGCAAGCCCAGTGTCCCTGAGACGCAGGTTGTTGAAGATTCCTGTTGGATCGACAGTAAGACACCTCTTGACTTACGACCGGAAACTCCAACGCAAAAGACAAGGACAAGTGTCGTTGCAAAGCTGATGAACAGAAAAATGAAGCCAAGAAGAAAACAAAGCATAGTGCCATGTGTGGTGAAACGAAGATCAAGGGTTTATACTAAGGAATGTTCGGGACATGAGGGTATTCCAGCTTCTGTGGCAGAGTTTGAGAAGATCAGAACCTTTGTGGAAAACACAGTGCTTCGTGCCCCAGTGCGACAAGAGGTAGGTGAAAATATCCAAAAGTAACAGTGATTTCAGAGGAAGTTGACGATAAGTGGAACATGTGAAAGGCTGATGTCTTTTTTTCAGTGATATTAATTATTGTTTGCCCTAGACACCTTGGAAACATTAACTAAAACAATGAGAGATTGATTTTGATAGGAAAATTAATTCTCTTGAGGGGAGGAAGGAAACAAATAAGTGAAAATAAGCTGAGAAAATTGTGACACAAGTCAATTTTTTACTTTTGGCAGGCGTCAAACATCCTAGATTTGCTGACTGGATTGTCGACCTGTTTGACTGAAAAAGAGTTAGTCGCCATTTGTAAAGAGTGTTCAAAGACCTTACGGACGTTGGACGCGCTAGGAAGTTTGCGTAAGTGTTAAAATGTTGGTTTTTTTTGTTACTTTTTTCTGCCTAGCTTAAATAACCTTAGCAAGATAAGAGAGACAGTGTTCACCTCAAACTGGCCACAGCAAAAGAACATAGCACTTTGGACCAAGCCGAAACGTCGGCACGTGGCATGTATAGTTAATTGCGCAAGAGGTTATGTAGATAAACGCTCTCTGATCGGTTGATGATTACACCACACCTTGGGAGGTGATTTTGATTCTGAAGCACTCAGGCAGTTGCACTAATAGGCACTTAAGGAATTTTATTGAACAATTATCGTCCTTAGGTTCAACGAATAATGTCAAACGATAGCTACATATTATTTAGAATACATGATTTTATGACAGAAAGTAAAATTAGACCCAAAAATCTTGAGTTTTCTTTGACAAACATTCAAAATCGCACGGGCGTCCCTTTTTTTATTTTTATCTTGTAGCAACGTATCTCTCCTTGGAGACGGTTATCATAAACCCAAGTGGAACTATCAAGTTTAAGCATCTAAGCACAGGTTTGTTAACTAAAAACCGTCATTATTGAAGCATATTCCGCTCTCTTGGCTCGGTACGTAACTCAGCTGAGAGTCTTAAACACTTCTTCGTATGATTGCAAGTTAATGATATGGGGTCTTGAATTCAAAGTGTTCTGAGACAATATTGATGTGACTTGCCTGTAAATGTTGCATCCTCTTACAACCCTCTAAAGGCAGCAACTGGTTTAAAGAAGGACGCCGTAGAAGAGGGGAAAGATCTTCTATTGATCAGATACGAGAGATAACCAGACTCTCTTTGAGTGGAGAGACCATCTACAAAGTAAAACAAACCAGGAAGTTAATTGTAGGACAAAAGAAACTTTTAGAGCGATTTTTTTTCGATACTTTGAACACCCACGACTTTCGTTTTAGATCATTAACAAATTTCTCTTTGTATTCGAGTTTCAAATATGATCTTTAGATTTGCACAACAATAACTCCATTTTGGTCGTTGCTAATTTAGGTTAACCTTTCTCCCTTGGGACTCTAGGTTCACATTTTGCCTGCCTCAAACAATAGCTAAGAGTGTTTTAGCACGTCTCTGAGTTAAGGGTTTATTTTGGTTGTACAACTTGCACAGTCTCATTCCAACAGTCTCGAATGCATATCCTCTTAAGGACTGAATTTTGTCTGAGGAGAAGACATGATTTCGTGATAACACAGCTCTGTCGTGAGGTTGCCTGTGTTTTCAGCTCCTCTTCTTAGTTCAAGTGAGTTAATGCATTATATGCGTATATCATATTCAACACAGAGTTTGTCTATCTGTTAGAAAACGTTTAAAAGACGACTCACTTGTCTTGCAAATTTATTGGAGTAGCACTAAAGTGTTTTTCTCTGTCTTGTGTCCACTTTTTTCTTAGTATTTGGCATTAGTTACTGAGTCACACAATCTTTTTTCTGCGAATATCACTCTCAGATGTGCAGCTCCTGGAAGTAAAAATTTCTCTAGTTCTTAGTTTTCTCTAATATCAACTTAATTTGTCAAGTTATAATATTTTAAACATTCGTAAATATCAGTGCCTTTTTTGTATTCTATTAAAAGGATTTGCACTTGAATTGTCTGCTAAAAATAGCTCTAACAAAGTACAAAGACTGTTCTTCCATTAGAGAGTTTGTAATTAGTACAAGTTTTGTGTATGATGATCACAAATAACCGTGTCGAAAAAGTTTGCGTTTCTTGACAGTTGCTCCGTCTCGCTCTGATAACTCTTTCTCTCACATTAGTTGCGCAAGAAAATTAGTAATTACGGGCGCGAGACGTTTGATTATAGAATTTATCTCCTTATACCAAAGCTATTGTATTGTTAAATCTTAATGTATTGTGCTTGTCTTATCAAGTCAATCCGTGGTCTGTGCGCAGGCTCCGAGAGAAGCAGCCTACTTATACAGCTCAGAATGCTCTCAGTTGTTCTGCAGTTAAACTTCAATGTGGGACAAATCAGGTCTTTGTTATTGCCTACGGATTTAACATTGCAATGCAATACTTTTATTTTGCTGCCGCCAGTTTTTATGACTGGTAAGATACGTGTGGTATCACCGACATGTAGATCTTTAAACATTGTTTAAACTATTAATCTTGTTTAGTTTCCCATATCACAGTCGTGTCATTAACAAACTCTTGTTAGTACAGCTTATTAATTGATCAATAATTGAATTATGTTGACATATGTTCCTATCTTGTTTGACAGGGATTTCTATCGATGATTTGTACCTAGCTCCAGAGCACTCCAACAACTTTGCGTCCGAAAAGGTATGGAATGTCAGAACTATGAAGCGTCAGAACTATGAAAAAACTAGACAACTGCACGGTCTGTTAAGTTTAAAGCGCTGTTTCAGTCAAAAGCCATCAAGGTTTTTACGGAAAGACCAAACTCACCGTAGCCAATACAGAGACTTGTTTGTATTTGATAGAAGCATACCTCAACATTTATTCTGGTCTTTCAAGACTAAACTTTAGATCCGTCAAGTCTTTCAGGAATACCGTTTGAGACAAATTTTTATTTATGGTTTGGGTTCTTAGGGTTTAATTGTTAATATTGTGTTCGGTGAACGAAGATAGATATGTCTTTTAACTAGATAGAGAGCAAATTGTTCTGGTGGAGGACACAGAGTTTAGCGTTGCTTTCATTCTGGTAACAGCAAATTTCTGTAGACAAATTTAACAGTGCCTTCGAGGCAAAATTAATTTGGACGCCTATTCATTTACTAAAAGGTCATTCGAGAGGGATTTTTGGCAACTATCAGATACATATTTACCTAACCAGCGTGCAGTAATTAACGAGCTAGACCTCGTGTGAACAAAACTTTCGAAGGAAAAACTTTTTTTGCCAGTAAGTAGTTGTAGAGTTAAAACAGTGTCACAGTCAGGAGGTTTCTCATCCGATTCAAAGGTGATTTAGTGCGATCTTCATTCGGCCATCGCCATATAACAGTTATTTCATTATCCGGCTGTATCTTCTTCATCAGATATCTTCCAAGGTAAGAATGGTGAAAAAATTTTTGAGTAGTCTTTCTCGAAAGTAGCAAACAAATGCTCTGCTTTTGGCCTGTTAACCGAATTTGGAAGAGTATGTCAACTGAGGACATAAACTTGCGCATTAATAGCACTTGTCTTTTGTTTTCTTCCTTTAATGTTGCCTGCATGTCTAAACTGAGGTGTTTGGTTGTGCTCGCTTGGACAATTTTTTTCTTTCTTTTCGTGATTTAAAGGAATATTGTATAAATTAAATTTCTTTCTTATTTTCAAACGAATGTAGCGAAATCACACAGTTTTGCTGAATTTGGTACACAAGGTATTGTTGGAGTTGAGCAATCTTAAAGACTCACGTCCGGAGCGTTCGTGGCTTTTCAATTGCACTTGCATGTCTAGACAAATCATTTTCACTCACTAATCCTTGGTATCTGACTCTTCTTTAATAAATATTCCTTCAATATTACTGAATAGACAGAAAACGATAAGGTTACATCAGCTTCCGTGATTTCAATTTTCCTTTGCCTTCCAGTTCGTTTGAATTTCCCTTTAAGTTTTGTCTAACTAAACTATCAGTTATTAAACACAGCTGAAGTGCAGGTCCGGTTTTATCAGAGCGTATCGCCTATGGCTGATTATTATAGCAGTTAGTCGTCCTCATCAAATGCGATTACCTTTAAAGGAAAGAATATGATATGCAACACTGAAAGACATGTAAAATTTATGATACAATGAGCTATTTTCTGCTGCCATCTTGCCCGATGTCTGTACAGTATGCACAAGGTTTGTACAGAACTTTGGCTATAAGAAATAACCAGTAATTGACCTTGCAGATATTCAAAACGCCTGGAAAAGCTTTCAATAACTGATTTCTAGAAAAACTTTGTCAAGTTTCTAGGCTTATGAAAGCTGCTATTTGATTTAGAAAATTATGTTTGGCGTCACCTTGGACTTCAAGATGTGGCGAAGGAAATGCGGTTTGACACACATTCATTAAACTCAAAGGCGTATATTGCAAATGATCATACTAATGACTCATTTTTTTTTATGCTCAAGGTATGGGTTATCTTTGTTAGTTTTAAGAGCACTCAAGCCCTCTTTCCTGTCATCAATTGTGATTCAGTACATTTAAATGTAAGTCTATGGTAATAATTCAATAAGGCAGTTTTTTTTAGGTTTGGTTACGTTGAATAACCAAAAGATAAAAATTGCGAGCAACTTAGTGATGAAGACATAGACTTTTTCTTTGTAACTACAAAAAAATCGTTGCATCGGTAAAAAGTTCTAACAATATTCAAAAATTATTTTTAAACTCACAACGTTTCGGCCAAGATTTCTAGTCTTTATCAGGGAAAGCTTATCTAGAAATTGAACAAAAAGCGCGAATAAAATAGAGAAACGCAAGTTTGAACAATTGTTACAATTAAGTCTTGTCCTGTAGCTCTAAACTGAAATATTCGTGTGGCAAGTGGATGCCATCGTGTCGACTGAGCGAATTCCTTCAAATGTTTATCTCTCGTGCTTCCAGAAGGCGTCTGGACCGCCAATTTCTTTTGTCTTGAAATCCCTTTCACGATGCGAATCAGTGACATGCACATAATTGTTAACCGCGGCTATTTCCATAATAATTTTAGGGTTGAGTATGTTGATATGCTTCTGACGTTCTGAAATTGTAGGTTTTTTAATCTCTACGATATATATCTGTGATCTTCTTAAAATGGCATGGACTTTGTGACATGCTTTGTAACTGGCCTTGCTTACATGCATGGTTTCACTCAGGCCAGTAAGGTTCTCTTGGCGTGTTGAAGTAAGCAGTCGATGTACAAACTAAACTAGATGGATGCTTTTCAAAGAAATTAAATTTTGCAGCTTAACTTGTTTAGAAAAAGGGGTTTGGTTCATTGTACTCATCTTCAGTGCGTTGACGGATCATGGCTTTCTACTCTGACGTTACTGTCTGCCTTGCAAGCGAGTGAATGACGTCATCGAGGCACGAAACCATTACACATATTGTCTGCGAGTACTGTGGAATTCGTACTTGGTTAATACACAACATAACAGTACTCCATGATGTCACAGTAGCTATTTGTAAAAAATATTACCTTATTCTTAGGTTCAGCTCAAGTTTTACCTCGCATTGCCGACTTGTGCAATGTCGACTAGCCTTGTTCTAATTTGCTTTTTCACCTGAATATTTCGGCTCAGTAGCCAATCAGATGGCTAGAATTCTTTTGCGATTCGGTAAGAAAACTTTAGTTATTGAAACCATGATCTTATTGTCCAAATTCACGCCGAACTTTTGTATAGATACCTTTAAACCCGTTTTTTTGAGTCTATGAATTTTCCTCATGATATTACTATGCTTTCTTCATCAACTAAATTCTAAAGGGGGTGGAGAGGGAAGGGGAATAAGGGGTTCTAGATTTCCATTATGCAGATGCCAGACAACTGTTTACCCGGTATTTACCTTTGATGGCGAAAAAGGAGCGAGTTTCAGTCCATCTCTGCATACCTGAGTTCACGTTTCTAGCTTTTATTTGGAACTATTTCTCATGTGCTTTAGAATTAATGACCGATCTTTTGTTCCAGTAGATCGCGCATTAAATTATCAATTTCTTTGTTCATTGAAAAGGATTATAGTGCGGTAAAACAATAGACAAGCATTTGTGAACACAAAGAAAGCCCAGCAGGCCTTAGGTAACAGTACTTAACATTCAAAACTAAAGAAACTCGAGCGTCTGAAAAGGACTCCTTCTAATATCTTCTATTACGAAAAAAAGCTGAGGATGTGCGCTCGAGCTCGACATGATTTATCGCGAATCACAGGTTTAAACTTCTAAAAGTCCTGGACATCTTTCTTTGCGCAAGAAAACAAATCAATTTACAACTATCGCGAAGTTTAATTTGTTTGTCGTTTGACAAGCTTGCACACCGTGGTTTTGGAGTTTGAAATGTTTTAAGGCAATTTTCAGCAAGTTTGAACTCTTTTGAAGGTTCTTCGTTAGATTAACAGCTTGTTTGGTAAGTTGACGACAATCTTTTCTCCTTAACTCGTCTGTTTTTACCACGAAACAGGACTGACTTGTCTTCAAGCTCTATGTGATGTAATCTTATCAATCTCAAATGAAGTTTTAGTATCTGTTACCGACTTGTTGACGTTGTAAACATGATGTTTGTTTGGAGAGAAGTCAAGAAATCTTAACGGTACTCAGCCATTTCACAGTTTCGTTTTTTTCAATGGGTGTGTGTTGATAGATCGAGGTTTGTTTATAATGCGGTTTCTTGTATTCAAAATTGAGCTTAAGGATCACATCACGACTTCATGTCCACTGGGACATACGTTGCCTTCGACTTCTTTGACTAAATATGAATATATTTAACTACGAGCCCCAAAAGTGATCTTGGACGCGTGACTACCGTAAGCATTTTACATGAAATACTTCTTGCTACACGACATCTGTGATAGCTTTCTAAACCGGTCGCTTTAAATATGCTTGTGACCTTTCGTATGTCCATCAGTGATTTTATGCACAATAATAAGTGTTGCGTTCCCTTAAACAGTGTTTGGAGTTCTTGAACTTTCCTCTTTTATTTGCCATTTGTTTTGTTTATTAACTTATTTATATTTTACTTCGAACCACTTCCGTTCTCCTCTCACGGCGAAATGACAAAACACTCCATAAAGAATTTTTAAAGTGTTAATCAGAACGAAAGTGGTTTGATTGCGGCTCTCTTGGTTTTCCGGTACTTGAACAGGATCAAATGAGAGAGGAACCGTGGCTGTTATCTTCTTTAGTTAAGTCTTTGAGAAAATTTTCCATCATAGGATATGTTTAATATGAGTAAAAGGATGTTCTGAAGTATGTTTTGGGTTCCATGTTGTAATTTCGTGTCGGTACGGTTAATGAATTAATTTTCGCACTAAAACACTTAAGCGTTATTAACTTGTTGAGATATTGTCCATCCTAAGAAACAATAAAGTTTCTCTGATGAGCGCTTTCAACCTGGCTCGGGATACAGAAATTGGTTGCATAATTTATTCAATTCATTAGAAATAGGCAAACAAAAGAGTTTAATTTTGATTTTCAAGACCAAATTTTTCAAGACACCTCTCTCTGAAAATTCATAGGATTGTTACAATTTGTGAGATTTTTTCAGTTAAAAAATTAAGGTTTGAAGTTGCCCCGCAATATTTTAACGACCTTCAGGCACAACTAGGCAATCATTTGCCTAAGTAGAAAAAATGGGAAACGTTACTGATTTAAAGCAACTGCAGTTTACATTCACTGAGTCTTAAGTCTTGATCGCGCATGCGTATTTTTTGTCTTTGGGTAGTTGCTTAAAAATAAGACTGATGGCTTAGGAAGGTGTAGAGACATGTAAGCACTTTAAATATACGCGACATGCTATCACTGATATAATTTACCCCGACTGCTGTATGTAACGCCTTCCTACGAAATGAAATGAAAATATGCTAAAGCTTAACTATGCTACACTTGAACGGACACAAAATAAGAATTACATTAAGTAACCTAAGGGCGAATATGGCATCTGCTCCGTAGGCGGAAAAAACAAAATAGATATTCTATCTTTTTTTTCAGACATGCATTTTCAGCCTGGCTGCCACATTGTGGTCAGCGGCTGACTGGCGGTTGACAGAGGCAGAAAAGCCGTTTTTAAGTTCAAAATTCCAAGAGCTGCTGGTATCCATGACAGACGATGCCCCGGATGCCAGACCGTGCTTATACGATGTACTAAAAGTAAGTTGAAAGCTTCGCTGTGTCCTGACCGTTGTGGTCACCGTTGTGGAGAGCGGAAAGAAGTTCATGCCACTGACTTGCATAAAAATTTGCAAATTTGGAAGAAAATAATATTTTTTTTCTTTTTTTTATGGGGCGAATGGAGTAAATAAACCAGCTAAATTGCAAGGCTGGCATAACGCTAAAGGGCAATTTTTTCATTACGTGTAATTGATACCTGAAATTAGTTGAAAGATTTAGAGGTGAACTGGTAAAGATGGGGACAAATTTGTTTAAATGCAGGAGCCGAATTCGCACAGGTGGTAGGGGGAGGGGTAGGGGCAGACATCAGTCAGATCAAAGTTGTGGGTTGATTGAACTGACGGTCAATCCAACTTAAGAACAGGCTGGCGTTCTGGGGACATGTTACTGACAAAAAGAAAAAAACACAATTGTTGAAGAGGGGTTAATTTGATTGGCGTTCAGTAAAAAAAAATGTTGTCCAAACTTCCGGATCTAAGAGCACGAAAACTTTATTGCTAAGAAGTTAAGGAATTGCAGTGGGAATAGTTTTGAATTCAGGCCAAATTCCATTGTGCTCTCGTGTCAGTGTTTTTAGACTTTTCTTTAATCTTTCATCCTCGCTTTCTTTCCAGACATGCGAGTCTTTACAGATCGAAAATGATATGACGTCACGGGAGAGATGTCAGGCTTTGCTATGGGAATACCAAGCTTCTGCAGCCATGGACAGCGATGACGTAAGTCACTTCACTCAGAATGTTGTGAGACTCCTTAAAAAGCTGTGAGGGAGATGGGTCCTCACACAATTTCCTGCAACTTGGCTATTCGGAAAGCTGAAAACTCTAAAATATCAACAATAGGATCAGTGCCGTGAAAAAAAGAAAAAAAAAATTCCAACAATTTGGAAAATGGCGGTTATTAATAGGAATAATAATGATGATCATTATTGCGCTATTCTTAATCCTTATTCAGTTTCAAATTTGGACTTTTTAAATACTAACTATTGACAGCAAGTTAACTTAGCTGCAAATTAATCATCATTCGTTGTTCACAGTTGCTACTGAAAACAATCGGTAAAAAGCACTTGAAGAGTGAGTCACACGAAGCCATTTGATTAACTAATGAGCCCAGTCGAGCTAGTCGCGTTTAAGGCCCGAGACTTGAGGGCTTTGTGAGATCGACAACAACAACATCTTAGCTGTTTTTGTGTGTTTGGAAATATCATGTTAAGCACTTACTAAACTACATGAATTTTCCTGTTAGTGGGTAAATACGCATAAAAAACAATTAAAATGTCTGGAGCGTATAATTTGGATCGCTTCTTTCACGACTTAATTCCTTCTACTATTCATTCGTTCCTTTGTTTCTCTGACGTCGGGCCCCTTTTATTAGAGATTAAAAGTCCATTTCATGTATGACCTTGCCAATGCTTTTGGCCGCCTGTGTTTAAATTATGTTGACCGCATACTTTAAGATGGAAATCCGTGAGTCCTCAGCTCCGTTTGCATGCCGTTTTGGTCAGATGCAGTCCCAGAGAGATGTACATAACATACGGTATAAGATTCGCCTTTGAGATGTCACGAATGCAAAAGTTGAAGTGTGCTGCAAATTACTTTCTATGGAGGGTTAAGCTGTTGAGAGCGATTATTGAAATCAAACATATACTTTGATATTGTGACATTCGAGATTGAGCGATGATCACTAAGCGAAGTGCTCTTTTCATAAACTAGGAAATGGAATGTAAATATTTGTGTTTCTCAAGTGCTAATTAACGATTGATATGATAATCAAGCTTCAGCCCGGAGTTACGGCTCACTTGTGTGATCACGATAGATTGTACAAGCCACTGTCTATACTTGACTCACGCGATGACACAGTCAAAGCTTATTGCACCCGTGACAACTATGCGCACTTCAAAACAGTGTTATGATCGGCTTCAACACATTTTGGACCATCAGCTTCGCTTTGTAAGTACCTCGACCTTACACTCAATTGATACTTCGCAAACATCACTAAAAATTACTGCTCATTCGTACGCATAACATGTTTTTGAAATAGTGTCATGCTGAGTTTATTTTACTTCTGAGAATACTGTAGGACCTGTATTGTTCAATGATTACTACCGTATTTGTAAAAAGTTTATTCGAGTAAAATTTGTGTCCTCTCGATATACTATGCATCTTCTCGGCGACTTCAAACTGACTGGCGTTGGGATATTTACTTTTACTTTCCAGTTTTCTGTGATATAAATTTAATTCTTAAAATGCCATCGTTGTTCGCAGTATTACTAGCTAAACTGATATATCTTTTTACGATAGCCTTTTTTTCACTGGAGTTTTTAACGTAGACACAACTTGAATCTCGCATTTCCTCGAACAAAAATTGATTCTCCACTGAAATTTACCCCCTAAATAACTCGAATCCTCGATAACTTGATGTGACTTCTCACCCCTCAGGTCCGCTTTTTCTCAACAATATTACATTCAATAACTCGAACCCTTTTGGATACAAATTTAGCTCAGGTATTAGACAGAGTCACTGTTGCTAACTGTTGTTTTCCCCAATTATACAATTAGCTTGTTATGGATTACTGAGGTGCTATAAAAATCAGTTCATCTTAAATTGTTTGTTACGACAAAACTTACGAGTGGAGTTGTCTCTCTACAACTCACACCACTAAGGAAAATGAGGTCCAAGGTATTGAGGGTTCGAGATATTATACGATTGTAAGATGTGATTGAAACTTTGGGGAAATAGTGTTTTCCTTTATTGTTCAATTACTCGGCAATTACTCTGTTGAATCACGTTGAACTCGAAGATGGAGTTAAAAACCGTGCGTTTTTCTTTTTCAAAACACAGCAACAGGTCTGAAAAGAATACTATATTTCCGCTTTGAAAGAAATTGAATGTTTGTGTTTCACTTAGTTGTAGCCATAAGCATATATGACGATATGAAGCGATAGTTTACAAGTTATTCTTGCACTGATTTCTCCCTTGTTCTCTGTCACTGTTGTTTTTTTTTTTTGTATTTGTTCTCAATATTATGTCCACCATACAATTTCACAAAAATTCAACACAGCCATTTTGTAAAAATCCGAAACTAGGCAGCCGTTTTTTAAACGTGAATGGCAGCCGGAAAATGGAAGTGCGTCACTAATTTTAAGTCCGTTTGCCTTGCGCCTCTAAAAAACGTTGTGCGTAAGTTCCTTACTTACGATTCCTGCCGGTTGCTCTTAGAGTTCGCAACTTTTTCTCACGCCACTATCTGCTAGCATGTCATTCGATCATCCTCATTTATCACCCACTTCAGAAGAAGTATTTATACGAATTCAACCATTTGTACAAAACCACCAAGTTCATAAGGGAACATAATTACCCAGCCGAAAACGGAACGTTTCAAACATCTTCTTTAACGAGGATAATTTAAAACCGCCACCTTGCGTTTTAATGTGGACGGAGAACGCTTTGAACACGAAATTTTTCGGATACGCTGATTTCACTATTGCGAAGGCTTTGAATGGGATCATTTGAGCACCGTTCTCCAATGATATATTTAAGCGATTCTGCGGCGCAATTGATCGTTAGAGTCTGGCGGAAAAACATTTTGTTCTCTTTCCTGTTTGGAAGGAAAAAATTGTTGCATTTTCACTGAGGAAACGTTGTGTTAACGGGGCCTAAGGGCGTACTGTTATTGTTGATATTACATCCTCGCGGCAGTTAATCATTTGCATAACATTGTGTTCTTTCGTGCGAGAGTTTTGACAAATGATCATCTAGTTATCCATGATGCGTCGCTAAGGGTTTCCGGTGGAGGGCAGTTCAAAAGCTTACGAGATTCTGCGGTAAAATAGTTTGTTCTTGAAATTTAAACTCACTTCCTACGACTCCACGATTTGTTCTTTCTCCAGACCACTAAGAGGAAGACAGTGGAAGGAGAAAAGAAGCATCATGACACACTGATGGGATCCATCTCTGTGGCCGCTTCATTCAAAGGCTTTCTCAAACAAGTGAGTAACTTTGATCTTCGATCCCTGATAGTAACCCTTGCTTTAGAGGAATCATATAACACAGCTGGTCAGAGCCAGAGACTCAACTTAACCTTCAGTTAGAAGATCTAGTGTGTCTTTTCTTAGTAAAATTACAGCCACAAAGCAAACAAGGATGACCTGGTTTGCGATCTTTATAATTGACACTTCCATACATATTTACTCCGTCGATGGTCAGTTTTAGCCCTTTGCGACCCTTTGGCGTTTTATCCTTCAGGAACTATCCTAGCTAAATAGGTTTAGTGAAAAAATGACGATATTTTGAGTTGTTTTACGTGGGACTCTCACCTACTGAGAAACTAAATGAAATAGATTCATTATTCAACCCCCTGCGAGAATTTCAAGTATCCTATATTTTTTTGACAGTAAGAACAAATAAAACAGGTGATAAACCATGCAAGCTCCTAGGCTGGAAACAGTGGGTGACCATTTCTGAATAACTTCCAGAATAAGAATACTCTGACCTCATTTGTTTGGGAAACTTTTCCTTTCCTCTCAAAATGTTATAAAACATACGATAGAGGAAGAATATTTTTATGTCATATTGTTGTTTGATGTCAACAAATCTTTCATGCAGTTATGTTTGTTTAATTTTTACAATCCCCGGACCTTTTTCGCGTAATTGTGGCTTAAATTCAAATGAGCTTACATGTCAAAACATCTTCAGATTTCTGATGAAGACATGCTGTTCCATGCAAGTGACTTAGTACAAGGTGTAAAAGTTATGATATATTTCTGGCAAAATGAGGTTTTCAGTTTTTTGGATACTATCATTTTACGAATGCTATGGAAGAGTGAAGTTTCTGAAATGATTTCGAGTGGGTTTTGAGCTATACGTTTGAGTTTGTCGGCCAGAAGGTAAGCTTGTCGTGTTAGCTTTAGATGAAATGTCATCTTGGAAATTCATCGCTTTGGTTAGGAGTTATCATCCGGTTATGGAATGTTTCGAAATGACTAAATAAGTCTAATATTTGCCTCAGTAAATGAACTTTTCCTACGTATATCTTATCTATTTAGATGGGAAGAAACGATGATACGATTTAATATTTCTCAAAATAAGCGTTTTCTTGGCGATGTCTTGTTGATCGCTTGTTTGATTAAAAAGTGTATGCAAAGATAGCTAGCGATTTGAGATGAGGTTTACAGAAGTTTATCTGATTATTTTATCAAACCGGCACCATACAAACGACTCATCCACGACATTAACATTACAAACGAACCGAACAGAACGACCTAACTTCACTAACGGATCCAAACCGACCAATCACGACTGACCTACGCCACTTGAGTCTTACAGCCAATAACATCACGGCAAAACTGACCAATCAGTGTACACAAACCGGACTAAATACATTCGACTGACAACAACCTTTCACTTGACTCTGATGATGACTTCCGCTCAGGTTGTCGAAACGTCAGTCACCATTACCGACAACAGTCCTTCTCAGGACTACACTCACCTGGACGATCAAACTACACTATTTATCTGATTATGTCGCTTTGTATCCCCCATAATTTCTTTGAAGAACAATTTTCTGACACCTGTAACGATCTTCATGGTCAATATATTTGCTCAAGGATGGTTCCTTTTTTCATAACCTAAAAGTCATATCTCTGAAGAAAGCTGTATGTTCTTGCCGTTCACCCTTCAATAAACACAATATTTTTATTTCAAGTGGATACATCTAGTGATTTTAGTGATGGGAATCTGTTTTTTTTTTCTTTTTTTTTGTCAGACAACAAAACCGCAAGAACGAAATCCTTTTGTAAAGACTCAAAATAATGGAGAATCGTTCCGTAACCTCGATGGCGGAAATTCTGGAGATAAAAGAAACGAAACAATTCCTAAACCAGAAGAAATGAAAACGGAAAAAACTAAAGTCATTGTAAACTCACCAATGTCAGAAGCCACCTCCAGAAACTCATTGAACAGCGAAAACGATCGACTTGCGTCTGATTCATTAAACGACAGGTCGTCAGACACTGGTGATGACATCAGTGATCAGGATCGCACGAGAGACCGAAAGAGAGGCCATTCCTTGACAGAAGACGAAAAACAACAACTCTTGTCTCTTTTAGCATCAACAAAGTTAAACAAAGGCCCATTTTATACCGGAGAAAACGATAAAAAAAGTGACGAAATAATTAAGTCTGTAGAGGATCAGTCAACCAAGCCACCGTCACCTTCCTTATTTGCTTATCCACACTACGGCCAAACTGAGAGTCAGATGATGTTCAACCCTATCATACCCGCCGGTCGTTCTGCTTCTCCGAGCGTACACTCTGATGTAAGCGAAAATCAGATTCCTTCCGTACCCACTCCCACCTTTGTACCCATTGCTGTCCCTATTCCCAGCGTAGCTCCTGTACCAATGCCCCCTTACTGGTACGTGCCTCAGGGAGGGATGATGTCCTTTCCTCACCCAGCGATGTCCCCGGTGCCTTTTCATCCAGTTGACTCTTCAGTAACTTCCAATCAGTCAGCGGTGTCAACAGATAGTGACGTCAGCAACTTATCTGACGTGGATCCTCGACCAAAGAACAAAAACTGCGCCACACAAAAGTCTGATAAATCCGAAGGTTTAAAGGCAGATACACAAAAGAATAACAAGGGATGTAAACAAAGCAAACAAGATAACAAGGCATCCAAACTTCCTCGTCCCATCTGGCAGAGGCCTGTTCCCAAGAGCAGGACAACCTCAGAGGAACTGGAATCGAACGCCAAAGTTGTTCGACGAAGGGTACCGTTTAACGATGAATTCAATGAGGGTAGTGAGGGGACGAAACCAGTGCGTGCAAGAACTCCATCTCCATCCCTTGGGAGACGAGCGGCTCCTCAGGAAGTCAATCCTCCTCGCTCTCAAACGCCTCCAGTGTATTGGACTAAAGATGGAGTAGACATGTCACCCCGTAATAAACCTCGAGCACGAGCATCAACAGGCTCTTTCCCAAACCGTCCCCCAAGTCCATCTAGCTTACTGGATGGACGTAGGAGGTCAAGTTCAGCTACTCTAGGATCAATAACAAACAGTCCAGTGCAAGGACGTAAGAATCAAGGAAGCAGGCCATCTAGTCCCGCCGGATCGCGATCTAATAGTCCCGTTTCAATGCTTGTGTCGAAGTTTGAGCAAATGTCTCAAGAGTCTGCAGATAGCTCTCCGCGCGTTCGCTCAAACTCCGTGACGTCCATGATTTCAAGGTTTGGTTCCTCGTCCTTAGTGCCTGAGGATCGTCTTGCCAAAGGGCAGTTTAAGCCACACAATTCTACAACACCCAAGCAGCCAGCTTCGAAGACTGGTCCTTTTCGTCCGTCGTCGGTTCGTAGCAAAGTTCACTCTGCCTCAGATATTGAAACGTCAATTCTGCGATCGGATAATTCTATTTTATCACAAGAAACGGGCAAGGGAAGCGACGCATCAAAGGACGAGTCATCAACCCGTCACCCTGGCAACCCACGTGAAGTACAGCGTAGTGGGTCAGACCCAGGCTCTACCGACAGCCGAGAACGTCGCGTCTCATCTTCTCACTGTATGCTCCAGGAAGAGAAAGAATCAACTTCAGAAAAATGTCATGATTCAAGAACAAGGCTATTGGAAAACATTAGAAAATGGACATCTCAGGAGAATATTTTAAGAGACTGCAGTTCATCTGAGGCTCTGGAAGACAACGCTCAAGAACGTTTAGCATCTGGTCTCTCTCTATTTAGCGATTATTGTACTAAAAGAGATCAAGGTGATCAAAAAGACAATCCTAAAGCACGGCTTCAAGGAAGTTCCTCTGGGAAATCGAAGTCATCCACTTATTCTGGGAGATCGTCATCCAGTAATGATCTCAGGAATGACTATATTATCAAATCAGGCAACGTAACGCACAATTTATCAAAACCCTGGCAGGACAAAGACAGTTCTTTAAACGGGATTTCCATAAAATCGTCTCTAGATTCAGAGCCTGTGCGCGAGAAAGGTTCCCCACGATTAAGACCGAGGGACCTTTGTTTATCACCAGAGAGAGACTCTTCTGTCCCATTTTGCGATGTCAGGAGTCCTAACGATCTCCTCTGGTCTCCAAGATCTGATACTCATCAGTTTGAGATCCCTGTGGACTTGGCAGTTTTAGACGCCACAACCCCCATCGTTTCCAGTCCACCAGCTTCTGTGGGTGGACTCGATTGGACGTATGGTGGAGTAGATGGAAATGTTATTTCTCCTCCTTTTCCTCTTAGTCCAGGATCATTGAAGGATTTCAAGCCATCAAATTATTTCACAAGTGTTACATTCAAATGTGGAGAGATGGAACCTGAGAGAGATACAAACTGTTTTCTTAACAGACCATCTCGTGACACAACAGAATATGCAAGCTCTGATTGCGTCTCTAACAGGAGAGACCCAACAGGCAATTATGTGAGGAGATTCGAAAGAAAAATTCTTCGCAGTACTGGTGATTTGGAGACTGAGGTATTTGCATCTAATTCGACCTCCGTTCAAAAGAGTTGTTATCCAACGGAAAATTCTAGCTTCAAAAAGGAAATAAACGATAATCCACGCCCTATTCCAAACTCACCACTTCCTTCGAAATCAGAAAGCTCGTCAATTATCGCACATGTAAATGGGAATCCTAAAACTCCAAGAACGAGATCAAGAATCGATCAGGTTGTGAGATCGAGACATCCATCCGGTGACTGTCCGCCTGGAAAAGATATAGCCGCTGTTTCGAAGAATCCTTCCTCACCAATGACTCTTAAGAAAATCATGTCGAATCCTCTATCTCAAGACGCAAGTACACCGCAACGTAGGATTTCAACGTCGAAACGAAATTCATTGCCCACTTCACAACCAATCAACCTTTCACCAGGCCGCGATCGCTCGAGCCCGGTGGAAAACCGCACAATCACGAAGAGCTCATCGCATACTTATTTATCACAAAAACATCAGAAGGTCTTCAAAAGTTCTCCGCAAAATAATCCATCGGTGCGTCAATCATCGGGAGATTTGTCAAAGAGTTCCCCCAAAGAAGGAAATCTTGGTAAAAGCAGTCCTTATTCTAAACCAATGCCGTCAAATAATCCTAGCCCAAATGTGGAAGAGAGCAAGAGTAGAGGTTCTTCAACAACTGCAAAACCTGGGAATCCAAGCCCATCAAAAGAAAGACATGGTGCAAAGGGACACTCTTCGAACCCCCACGCCAAAGCCAGTAGAACTGTTAACTCCACAGCCACTTCTGCTGATCCGTCAGAATCAAACCCAGTTAGGTACCCATATACGAGAAGAGGGAGCTTGCCTGCAGGGGGCAGTTCTACCATCAAACCTTCTCCAAAAACGACCAGCAATCCTACTTCTCCACTTCATGTAAAGCCACCAAAAGCGCAAATTGAGTTCTTTGGTGCTGCAGGAGCAGACAACCCACGTGGTGGGATTAATCCTCGAGATTCAAACAGAAGACACGAAAATTTAAAAGACACTCACCAAAACCCAGGGCCAAGAAGTCAGAGTGACTTCGAAAGCAATGCTGATTCCTCTAAAGCTCCATCTCAATGTGCAAAGTCATCCTCAACATCTGGATTCTCTTCTCATGAGCTCGCTTCAGAACAAAGCTCTAACTCGATGGGTAAAACTGAAGAATCGGAAGTATTTTATATACCTCGCTCTGATGAAACTCTCCTTAAAAGTGACACACCATCGAGTAAAGGCAGTAAGCGATTTCCAAGTAACTCGTCATCTGACAGTGGATTAAACTTGTCTGATCCCGACGAGTCACGAGGAAGCATCGGAAAAGGCAAAAAAAATTATAGGGCAAAGTCACCTCCTTCGTCCCCAACTACACTCTCTCCTTCCCATTCACCTTCTCCGACATCTCCGAAGTTTCCTATAGGACACAATATTTTTTATGATCCAAAAGATCACAAACCTCCTCTACCTTCATCAGAGGAAGGACCGCTGAGTGTTTCACAAAACGATCCGAAGACGTTGGCTTTTCTATCTAACAGTATTCAACAGGAAAATGTCTCTAATCCCTTTAAGGCTTCGGTAGGAAAGTCCGAGGAATCTCCGAACAAACCGACGCGAAGTGACAATGATAACTTCAAACATCTTAAAAGTGACATGTCGAAAATAACGGATGGAAGTTCTCCAAACTCTGATGAGAAAACTAACGTTTATCCTGAAAAACCAAAGGAAGGATCTGCTGCTGCGAAACTTGCAACCGACGGTAGAATGATGAAGTCCACCGCAAAAGAGTTTGAGTTGGCCTCCACACCACCTCCAGACATTTTGGGAAGACCTGCTAGTAAAAGCCCTCCATCTTCGTCAAGAGTTGATTCTAAAGAGCTGCTAGGTCAACTGGTTAAGAAAGTGCTAAACTCAGCTGCTGCTAAGCAAGGGTCCTCTCCAAACACATCATTCGCTGAATCAGCGGCAAAAGAAAGTGGCAAAGGAAAGAGGGTCACTTTGACTAATGAGACAACAGAAGCTAAACAAAAAGAGAAAATAGGTGGTCAAGGGAAAAATCCAACGTTAAATAGCTCTAAGCATAAGTCAGGGCTGTCTGATACTGAAAAAGCTACAAAGATAAAGGAAACAGGACTTATGAATTCGAGTGAAACTTCTTCAACACGAAATCCAGACGAAATCACACCTACAGGAACACTGCGATCGCATCTTGGCACCTTAAGTGAAACACCGATTTCCCCAAATAATGCTTCAATACTTGAGAGTTCTTCGCGCAAGGTACGTCAACCATCTGCCATCGATTGCAGTTATTGTAAATTCTAGCATGTAAATTATAGAATTATACAGTTTCAACAATACCCCAGTTCTTTAACGTTGACACACTAGCAACAATTCCTAATTGGCGCCATTCCGAAGCCTTTTCGGGTGAGGAGGTATAATACCATTTCCACTGGACTGAAGGTTTAATTGGCCCCACACATTCAAACGCCCTTGCCGTTAAAACAAGAAACCCTGTATCTGTCCAAGATTAGCAGCAAACTTCTCTCGTAAGTGTCTGCTCTCACATGCGCATGTATCTACCAAATATTTAAATTTGCAGTACACGTGGAAACAGCTCTGTCAAGCCATCACAAAAATCTTTAATCGTTGTATTTGAACTGTGTCATCAACAGGAACAATCGTTGCCAGGTGCAAAGGGTGTACTCTCTACGATCATCGACATGATACACGACGAATTTGCGTTTGATGGCTACTTGGACGATGGAGTCGAAGATGTCAATATGGGTGAGTAACTGAAAAATCTTTTGGCGTTTCAGTGTCTGTTACGTTGTGAAGTGTTAATTATCTTTTTTTCTTGTAATGGGGTGTGACCTAAGGTTAATTTCCCGTTATATGTAAAAGGAAGGAAGGGAATTAAGATATTTCAAGAGGTAAATTAATATTTCCGGTTTTTAAAACGATCTTTCTTGTTCTGGCGTAAAGAACTTGTACTTTTATGAAGCTATTAAGAGCTGTCCTTTTTTTTAGCCCTAACATAGATGAACCCCTCCAATTAATGTTAAAACGTTCACGTTGTGTTGATTATGGTTGTTTTAAACAATTTGAAGACATAAAACCTTCCACCTCATAAAATGCAATGCATTTCCAAGCGCCCAGTGTTTGTTTTTCGCTGTTTAGATAGTGTCTTTTGTTTTTCGGACTTTTGTATTCACTTAGCCTACGTCATCTTTAGTTATAAAGAGAAGACCATTAACCGTGTTTCTAAAAAAGTGATCAATACAATCGTACTATTTGTTTTCTGGGAATCTATCCTTACGTGAGGGTATCTCGTTGAGGCTGTTTTGAGGGGACTTACATTGAATCGTCAATAGACTCTGTCCTCACTTTGCGCCAGTCTAAATTCGGAACGTGTTTTTCACCTCACGTTTTCTGTTAATTAACGCCCTCCTCGGCGAATGCTTGTAAGCTAGTTTACAATAAAACTGCCAATTAGCACCAAATGGGCTCTAAGTCAAGGAATAAAAAGACATTCAATTAACTCGGGCACGTACCAACAAATTTCTTGTTTGAAAAGAATTTTCAACGAGGACTTTTTAATAAAAGAGAACATATCTGTGAACTTATGGCCGAAAGGACTTACAGGTATTGTCATCAAGAAGAGCAAAGTGTAAGAATCCTTTTTTCGAACGACACAAAATCAACTGTTGTCCATATATGTAAAACATTTTCAGGTGTAGGCGAACTTGCCTTTGCATTTTATCAATTTTTACGTTTTGGGGCTAAATGAAGGCCATTGAATTGTTGGAGAGCCATGGTAACAGCTTGTCTGTTGTCGAGCTAATGCTAACTACTGCCAATCTTCTTATCAAATAGCGCGGAAAATTTGTCTGTTCGACCGAGCATCGTCCCCAGAGACTCTTAACTCAGAAAATTAATTACCGTCACAATAACGAATTCAACGTTTGACGTAAATATTGTTTTACAATCTGGAACTAGGTGACACTCAATTGAAACGTCGGCAGAACATAAAATATTTTAGGCAATATTGAGAGTTACCGCACATTTGTGCAGTGGTTAACAAACAAGCACTTGTTTCTTGTTTTCTTCTGCTTTTCGATTACATTTGGCTTTGCGCCATAGTTCTTTTTATACATAATACTATAATACCACATATTATAGTGTCTTTTTATGCAAAGACTCCTAGTTTCAACTTGATTTGTTCTTGGCATAATGTCCAACACGACACAATCAAAAATGGCGACGATAGTCGATGGTAATATCAGATAAACATTATACCGGGCAATATGTTATCGATAAGATTTACCTGTGATTTAACAGGAAGTTTAAGTGCGTTTATTTGACCTTGTCTCTTTATTTGCAGCTGAGTACGTTTTATCTTTGGCTGGAATGAGTGAGGAAAACTTTAAAGAGGCCATTACGGATCAGTACAGTGACTTGTACTGGGATGAAGACCTTTTACACGAGATGTACGAGGCGGTCACCGAGGGACAACAGACTAGAAGGTTGGAAAATCTTAATTTAATTATGTGCGGCCTTAATGAAGCATTTTCTAAGGTTGAGTGGCAAAGCCTACCTCGTGTAATCACTAACATACCTAACTGCAAGCTTCCATAAGAATGTGGCGCGGACGTCCTGTTAGTGGCTGTGATCTTATGTTTTACAATGAAATGCATGTAACAAAACCAGTAAAAACAGAACTTATATCTATCTTTACTAATTATAATCCTTTTCCATCGCATATCAAAACTTGTCCTGAGCCCACAAAAGAGTTTGTCTTCTGAAGAGAAAGGCCAAGTCCGTATACTTTCTCTATAGGAACCCGTATCTCAAAATACAGAAACACAGCTTCGATAAAACTAATCCACATAATACTAAGCGATCAAACTATGCTTAAGCAGGTGTTTTAAACAGCTGTCACTCCAAGGTGGTAATTATGAAAGCTCAATTATGTGAAAGCTCGCTGCCTGTGGTCATCGTTTCTCGCCAGCCTGTGAACGAGAACAGTTTTGGTTTTTTTTTTTTTATTAAAATAATCCCTTTTAGCTAAAATGGATGGATGTGGGATGGCGTTACAACGCATAAGTAGAGTTTTATTAAGTTATTCATTTGATTCGGTGAACTCCTTGCTGTACTCTCGGTAGTCTGACATGAAAAGATGCGCTATGGAAATAAGAGTTGGTCAGCGGTGCTTACAGCAATATGACGTCACTGGTTTGTGTAGTTTTACTGAAGAGCGCTTTAATCATAGCAGGGGTTTTATAACGCTTTGTTCTTTCTTTCAAAAACTAGGTCCACGTTGCAGTTTTCAGAGAGCACTGTCAGTGATATCAGCCCTCCTGAGTCCATCAGTCTGTCACGTGAAGAATCTTACCTCAGTTTAGAACCTTTGTATTTCAACTCCATCTCCAGAAGCAGCAGTGAGAGGAGTGGGACTGGGGCAAGGGACATCCTCATATCTCCAATGGGGGAAGCTACCGAATTTTTACCCATTAAAGTTATTGCCCCTGAAATGCAAGCTGACATCCAGGAATTGTTGACGCCAATTTTTGAGGATTATCATAGAGTTATGGTGAGAGACTGTGACTGCAGTTTTTATGTTCATTGAACGTATCATTTTTCTCTCAATGTTAGAAGGCTCAATTGGAATTCGCACTCGTACCAAAAAAACACAAGTCCGATCAATGGGAGTCTTTCTGAATGTAATCATCGAATGAACTAGCTTGATGTGCCCCAATAAATAATTCATCGATCTTCCAAATACCAGTTTTCTTTGGTTTTAACGATGAGGGGAGAATAATTGAAGCTGAAGGCTAGGATTGTCAGTGTTCTCCATTCTCCACATTTGTAGCCATCGTAGGCCATAATGACGGAGAAACCTCTGAATTACTTTCTATGAAAGGTGCCAGCTTTACTCAAGCAATCATGACTGTTTTAAAGTTTAAGTCTCGTTAAAAAATAGATTCTGTATTGCCGTGCGTTTGTTTTTACTACATTTTGACCAGGCTCACGGCAACAACGAATCTATTTGTTTAATTTAATATAAAAAAACCAAATGTTGTTAATGGTGAAGTCATCTATGCGCCTGTCCTCCAATAGACCATTAATAAGAACCAATCAAAACGCGAGCTTGATTCAGCCCATCATATAATGTCGTGTGGGTATACAGTTTAAAAGAAATTTGTAAATAACCGTTGTCTTGCTAAGCACAGTCTCATAAAGTTAAACGTTTGGTGATTTTTTTCAATCAGGGAGTGAAGCTGATATCGAGCGTGGAAGGGCTTACAGAAAAATTAGGCACGAAAATTGTGGTAAGACTTAAAAAGTAACATACAAGATAATCAATTCAAGAAGTAAGCATAATTTCTTAAGCCAATTAGCTTGATCAGATTTTTCATCAAGAATAAATAAATACACTAAATATCTCGCAGGAAATCTCTCAGCAGTTGATGTTGGAACGAAGAGCCAAAAAAAAGAGCATGAACTCTTACAACAAGATGGCGGAAGCAGAGAACAAAAAAGGTCCGTTTCACTCTTTACACCCTTAATCACTAGGCATATTCTTCATACTGTCCTCCATACATTTCTTAAGGTGCTGACGAGGAGAATTTGTTTAATAATCAATAACTTCTTAAGTTGGTGATCATTTCCTTTATTCTCATGACCTTAATGCTTGATTCAGGGGTCATATTGTAGGGAGAAATTAGCTGCTGGTCACTCTTAAGGGTCAAAGGGTTAAACTTCACACGAGCCTTAAAGCTCGTTCTAACCATCGCTGGGGTGCTTCACGCAAATTTTTTTTTCTATTTTTATAGACAGTGAACACAATTAAAGCGTTCTACGAGCAATTCACCCTCCCGTAGTGCTTCTATGTATATATAAATAGCTTAATGAAGTTTTAATAGGTGTATCCTTTTTCAGATGTGAAAGATCTCGCGTCGAAACTGGTGAATGAAATCGAGGGGAGCGATAAGAAGATTATATACTTAAAAAACGTTCAACGACAGTTGAGGGTGAGTGTGCAGCGTATGTTTGCGGTAGAATCTCAAATTGGTCGCCGAGATCAGATACTTTGATCAGAAAATAGGATGAGTTTCCTTTCAAAAAGGAAACATCTTGTTAACTCCTTATACAAATGTTTATTTTCCGCAGAATGTGTACGCTGAACGCTTTGGGCTTGACACCTCTTTGCTGTATTCTTTTCTTGTCAGGTAAACTGCAGTCATTCTCGTATCAAGGTTTTCAATCAATCATGTCAATAAACGTCAGTTGAAGTCATCGCACCAACCCCTCCCCCAGCCCAACAACAGTCAATCGCTAACATGTTAAAGTTAATGTTGGGTTAGGTGAGGGGTACATGCGCAGTTACTCAGATACTGATATTAATCCGTCTCTTTCTTTTTATAGTTACAACACTTCCTGCGTGACGTTGGTATCGGAGTTGAACAACAGCTTTTTAAACTTTTCCCCGATTTGGAATCAGAGGGGAAGCGAAAGTGTAGAGATTCTGGACGAATCCCTCAGTGGACCATCGCTTCAATCAGGCACCAAACTGGGTTTATTCTCTTACCTCTTTGACAGGTTAGTTCAACTGAATCAAGTCCGATTTCCCCTCTCCCCGTCACTTTTTTTCTTGACACGTTAGCGCACAAATAAATGAAGATAACACCCTTAAACCAAATAGAAAGTTTGTTCCCTCTTAGTTTTAGTGAACGTTGGATTCAAACGTAGTTTGAGTAGTAGGCGCGCATATAACGTGATGAATGATTTAGAACGGCACCAGCGATTAACATTTTTCCTCGTGAGTCTCTGCCTACTCTGGCGCTATCGAGTCCGCTCACCCTTTTTTTTGAGGGTTGCTTAAATGCAGTGAGACTATATGACGGCTAACCTTTTGCCATCTCTTCGCATCATCTTAGTATTGGCTCACTGTGAGCCTCGCCGGCAAAACTTATTTATTCTCACTTTGAACTACTAAATTAGACCTCGTGCTAATTTAATCATTTTGTTTCCGTTTCAGACATGCTATGAGTCAGGCGTATGTGCGATATTTTCTGTACACGTTTCGTTACATTGCTACTGCACAAGAACTATTCAACTTCATAAGAGAAAAGTGTTCAGCGTCACTCAGGTAAGAGAGTTGAAATATTGAAAACCTAACAAAGTAATTCAAACTTTGCCACTTAAGTGATTTGAAGAAAAAGTTTGCGCGAAGTTTTTGTTTGAAAGGAAGTTTGGAATAGAAAATTGTCGGAAAGGCAGTACGAAAGCAATTCGGGTTAGCCGATGGCCAATCAGCCGGCACTCTTTCTCTCGCTGTTAATCATCCTCTCACATCACAGAGGAAGTCGTGGTCACATGCGACAACGTATCAGGACTGGCCACCAAAACGGTGGGAAACAAAATCCTAGGGTCAGTCAGGCTTACGAGTGTTACCTCTGTTTTTCTCTTCAGAACGGATTCTTCAGGTCAAGTGTACAACCATCAGCTGCAAATTCGATACCGTGGCTTGGACTTACTGTCTGAATGGATAGACAGCTTTTATCAGTTTGATTTCAAAACGAATCCCAACCTCATAAAGGAGCTGCTTGCCTTTGTTAAGGACGAGGTAAGATCATTCAATATTCATTTGATTATTTATATGAATCTTCGGCTCCGCCTTCTTCCTTCCCTCCTTCCTTTCTTACTTCATCATTTTTCACTCATCTTCATTTTTAATTTATTCCAGTTAATCCTCGTGGACAGAAGTGAAAGAGGTCATTACTTGATGGAGCTAATTTCAGAGAAACAAAAGAGAGATTTGAATAACAATTTATCATCAGACGAACTTAGTGATTTCGTGGCAGTACTTCAGCTTGAAGAACCTCAAGGTACGGGAACATCTGAGACTGCTCTTTTAAATAGTTTGCGAAGGAATATGAGGGATTTAAAGAAAGCTTATGTGAGATTTTTTCTTATTGTGCTGCAGGTCTAAGCCCTGTGGATGTTCTGAGAAAGGTGCGTACAATTTCCAGACTATCTTTTTATTCATGTATTTACAATCAAACGGTCAAGGTCCAGACAAAAAAATTGAAAATAACTGCTAGATGAAATGCCCTCATCAACGGTTTGATTGTCGCCTGGCTTTAGAGAACATATTCTTAAAACAATTTCATTAATAGAGGAGGCAGTTTCCAACTGAGCGCCCAAAGCATTCCTAACTTACGTTTGTTTTGCTTTGCTATGCTATTCGATTTAGTTAGCCACCTCGCCTCAAGTATTCAACCAATCAGATTCAAAACTGAAACAAATCAAGGCTTGGTCCCTTGCATTTTCCCGCGCTTCTGACGGTTTTGTTGTTGTCGCTTGGATTGGCTGTAGTTGTGATTCCCTTGGTTTTGGTTTTAACTGAGACACTCAATCGAAATTGAATTCAAACTGAATTGATTGATACTTGGAACTTTCATAGAAACGAGGGAAGTTTGGTTCCTACGAGGGAGTGTCATTTGGAAGTCCTTTATAGAACACGCGCAACCAAATTTAACGACTTATCTCTCTTTTTTTCTGTAGCCATTGGGTAGCCGCAAAGCTAAATCTCCAGTTCAGTGCTTCAGAAGAGCCCCACCTGAGAAGGACACTACATACAAAGCAACTCTGTACCTCAAGGCTCTTTCCATATTAGACCACTCTTCACGAATCCTCGCAGAGCAGCTCACACTGATACAGCAGGTAAACCTCTCCTAGATTCTAATCCCGGATTTAGCTCTCTCCGTTCTGGACTTCTCCTCTCATAGCTTTCAGTTTTCTCCTGCAGTTTTTTAGCATGTATCTCTTTGGATAACCTGATGTGCGTTGCTACAACACGCATGTACCTCGTGTGAAAAGTAAATAAGACAAAATTGCGTCTGTGGCAGAGCATGTCTTCTATCTTTCCCAAAACAAAACAAAGAGACTTTGAATTGACGATTTGCTCCTTTACTTAACTTCCTCGTTTACTCAACAGCATGTTTCGATGATGCTGCCTCCAAATCGCACTTGGCTTGTCCCCTCACCTCTTTAAAGTCATGGATGTCCTGATTAATATAATTTTTTTTTTCTTTTTACAGGATTTGTTTTTCCATATTCACCCAGTGCATTTCTTAAACTCGCGTGCGCACGGTATCGGTGTTGGTAGGCATCAATCCCCTACCAAAGAACGCGATAACATGTTTGGCTTTAGCACCGGAAGTCGACGTGCCTCAGAGATGTCAAGTTTGGGGGAAGGGCTCGTTTCACGAGAACAAAATATGTACGTTAGTGAACCCAGTACAGATGGCCTACTAGAGGACCTCTTGGAGCACGCGCACGATGTGTCCTTGTGGGTGGCAGTGGAGATATGTAGTGCGTCCTCCATAAAGGTAGCATGAATTGTTTTGTGACTTGAGTTGTCTCTAGTTATTTAAAAGTGAGCAACCTCTTAGCACGGGTGTCGTGAATGTCATGTCGCATGTTAACATCTCTCATAAGGTAAAGCTCCCGTGAAAAGTGTGGTGATTTTTACCCAAGGTATATAATACAACCATCCCATCCTCTTGTGTCGAGAGGGACAGAACGCCTGTTTAACTCTATAAAAAAATACATACATTAACGTACGTGGTGTAAGGAGCGCGAATTCAGCTGAAGGGGAAGGGAAGGGGAGAGCGTGATTGTCCCCACTACAATGTACGTTTGGTTAATTCGAGCAACGAGTCATTTTGTTGATCGTAACCTAGAATGGCATGATAACTTACAACTGCACTTTCCTATTGCAGGCTCAACTCGCCCTGATAACTAAATTCGTGAATGCAGCTCGGTACTGTTGTGAGATTCGTAACTACAGTACCTGTATTCAGATCGTCGACGCTCTGGAGATGTTTGTGATCCGTCAGTTACCGGTAAGTTAGTTACTCGTAGTTAGTAAGTCTTTCAGAATTTTAAACAGCTAATTCAACCCGAGTACTCAATATTAATTTCACTTGAACTTTTTTTTCCAATTTTTGTGGCCCCAGAACACATTTATCACCACGGGAAAATCAGATTTTCTTTGACCTCTCGAGAAAGAGATGTTTCACATCTTTATTCATTTTGGACGTGTTCCCTTCTCGTTTAGGTCTGGAGACAAGTCCCGACAAAGACGACTGAGACACTTGAAGAACTCAAGGCTGTTAAGGTGGGTAAAACGTCTGCAAGACTCGCTGAAAAGCGTGTTTCATTGAGTGTTGCAGAACCAGAAAGACATAACAAGCTATGTACTCCATTTCAGGTTTTGTTGAAGACAGATAGCTCTTGGTTAATGAAGAGTGAAGCGTCACGTGAGAAGCCCACAATTCCTTGCTTCCTTTTGTTCGTGATTCACGTGCAACAGCAGGAACTGGGAGGGTTTACTTTACCAAACGACATGTACAAATGGACTAAAATGAGGTAATCATTTTCCTTTGATAAAAGAAATTTATTTATAGGCGGCAATCCACTAGTATCGTGGGCTTGGTTTAAACTAATTGACAAACGAGCCTCTGGCTCAGATATGGTTGTCGAGCGACATGTTAACATAAATAAATTTGTTGGTTCATCAGGAAATATTCTTTTAGAGCAGTTTTTAATTGAGCATCGAAAGCAATCGAAGATTCATTGATTTTGCTTTACTTTGATTTGTGATTGGTCCAGAGAACTCGCTCCACTCTCAGCCAATCAGGTGCAAAACTAAAAGCAATCTCGACTTGGTCGCCCGCGTTTTCCCGCGCTTTAGGTAATTTAAATGTTTTTACTTTGAGTTTTCATTAGCTCTAAAAGTATTTTCCGTTTAGCTGATTGATTGTCTTTATTTTGGTTTATTTTTGGTTTTACGATACTCGATCAAGAAAGCGCTCTTGAGGACGTTCTTTCCGCTACGAAATCACTCATTTATTTTTTTGAATTGCAGGTCAACTGCCCGATTAGTGGACCAGATTCGATTATTCAAACAGATGCGTTACGCCTTCCAAACCAATGATGAAGTGAAAGAGAGACTCAAACAGCGTATACAGGAGTGTAAAAGTGAAAACCTTCATGCCCTTGCTTCTGAAAACGCCAGCAACTTTCACCTATCTTCCTCACAAGGTTCCAGAAAATTCCACGATGCCTTTAGGAAGATGAAAGCTACCTTTGGTGGTCATAACTGAAGATGTCTTCAACACAGTCATCTAGCTGTCACGATTAGGTGTCTTTTCATATCAGGCGTTATTTTTTTTCGTGGGCTAGTTCTGAAAAATCACAACAGCCTCCGAATTTGATAACTGAGAGGGTGGGGGGGGGG